CTTAACTTCAAATGCGGTCATGATCTTGTGCGTGACATAATCAAGTGCGGAGTATGCAAAAACTGGTTTGAGAGTTTTTTTCCGGGAGTGGTGAGGTGGGCAGTAGAATGCAATAACATTTCCAGACTCTTCCTTCTTAGCAATCATGTTCATTTATACCACTAACGACGTTGTTGTAAGTAGTGACGACGTGGGTGCTGACGGTGGGGTATGGCATGCTTATTCATTTCGTGAAGACCTGATTTTCCGTGAACCAGTCATAATTTTATCACTAGTTTGTCCTTTACCATCAGTGGAATCCGTTTCGGTAACAAATAGGCATTCGGGTTGATGAAGGCCAGTTATTTGTTTGAAAATGTCCACCAAACAATTCTTGCACCACGCGATACATTAAAGCCAAGAATTGTTTAAATACACAATGCCGTTTAGAAAGTGATCAATGAAACACATGCTCTATTTGGGATTACACTTTCTCAGTAAAGTACAGATTCATCCGGGATTCGAACCCACACCCTCAGAGTCAGACGCCTAAACGTCAGCACACAAAGTCAGCCGTCTAACCCACTCATCCACCGTTGCTTCCACAAAATTAGAAGTTGGACAACTGGCAGTCTAGATCACGGACGTTGTGTATTTCTCTGATAAGTGTAATTTGGCATGGCTTCCACGGCCGGAAGCTATGAATACACAATGCCATTTAGAAAGTGCTCAAATGTAACACATACTATATTTGGGATTACACTTTGAGTTGAGTCCCATCCGGCATTCGAACCCACACCCTCAGAAAGTAATAGAGTATGTAAAGTGTAATCCCCAAAATGCATGTTACCTTTGAGCACTTTCTAAATAGCATTGTGTGTTCAAACAATTCTTCGCTTTAATGTCTGGCCAAGCTGACTCACACTCAGGCAAGAGGAATAACTTCTAGGCTCCTCTATGACCTTGAGACCTCTCTCAGTAACCTACAGGAAGCACCAAAAGAAATTACATTAACATATATGTCTGATGCCAGACAAAAGGCGTCTACTGCTTCCAGAATTAGACGCCATTTCTGTTTTAAATAATGTTAACGGTGCATGATAAAACGCATTTTATCGAAATAGCTGTCCCACAGGTCATGGAAAGTCCAACCTGACGTCTTTTCGGCATATGAAAAAAAATAAAGTCGGACGGTGGACGCTTTTATTTGCTTTTACACAGTTATTTTTAGGGAAGGAATACAGAACAAACTGTATGGCGATGTTTTGTGTGATTGGATTCCTCAACGCCATCGTATATAGTTCCAGGTCTAGAACCAATATAATACGGTCGTGTGGTTGACAAGTTTCTGCCCGAGTCGATAATTCAGTTGAACACGAAAGTTTTACACAATAAACAATAACCAAGGGCAGAAACACATGATTACACAATGTCATTATGTTTTATCAAATACATGTGACTGTCACAAACAGGAACAATGACATGACAACGTTACAACGTTATCGTTACAAGCATGTAATATTAAATTCACATTTACAGCCGTGTACCATTACGATGAACTGTTACAATGATTTACTGAACGATATCACAGTCACAGACACATATGTGATATCATTGGTACATATGTGTATTATATGATTTCAATGTTAGGGTTACAGCCATTGTAACACGAATGTGTACACAATAAACAATAACCAACGCGCAGAAACACATGATTATACATTAATTTACTAAATTCACGTCAGTGTCACAAAAAGTAACAATGTGCTGACACCGTTATACGCATGTTCTGTTAAATTCACTTTCACAGACTTGTACCATAATGATGAACTGTTACAGTCAGATACTGAACAAGATCCCAGGCACAGACATGTATATAACATAATTATACGTGTGTATTACATAATATTAATGTAATGTACGACATCATTGTAACATGTTATGTACGATGTCATTGTTAAAGGGGTATATGATATCACTGTTACAGAGACAATGTTGGACAGCACTGCTACAAGCGTGGCTCCGTGAAGATCCGGATTAGAATTGGTCTTCAGCAACCCATACTTTTCGCATGAGGCTACTAACGGGATCGGGGGTCAGGCTCGGTGACTTGGCTTTCATCGTTTCCCACTTGCGGAGTTCGATGCTCTTGATGTCAATCAATGGATTGTCTGGTCCAGACTGGATTATTTACAGACCGCTGTCATATTGCTGAAATATTGCTGAGCAAACAAAATCCGCAACAGGAAATACAAATCAGATGTCTTTTCACGGGAAAACAATCCAAAGACAATGAAGACCATCTAAAGGATCACAGAATCGACACTGCACATGTAAATATTCCGAAGCCTCACATCCTGTCATATGATATCAAAAACAAAGTATTTGTCAGTTTGGAGTAATAGCGTTTGTCATTATAACCTAGCAGCCAAAGGAAAGTACATACACAAACATGATATTTGACCATAACATAACAGCAAACCTACTCAAACAGTTACTTCACTGAAACCAGTCGCTGAACCACTTCCGTCCAAAAAACATTATAATTATGCTACTAATATTCAATTCATCACCATTGCTTGTTGGTTTTCGTTTTTTACCACCATCAAACATGATTGTATATTTTTCTTTGCTCGAGTGATTGAGTTTAGTTTTACGCTTTTAGCAATATTCCATCGAAATCACGACGGGGGACACCAGAATCGCCTTCACACATTGTACCCATGTTAAAAATCGAACCCACGTCTTCAGCGTGCCAATGCTACGCCACTGCCCCCGTTGCTTGAGACTTAATATACACATGCAATATGTGATACGGTTTTCCAGACAAAATACTGAACTTGTTACATAGATGTATTGTGAATAATCAGTCATTTCGATATTTATGTAAAACCATCCATTAATGTATTTATTTGCAAAGACAAAACAATTTTACAACTGGACAATATATGTATGCTGTCACACAACAGAAACAGAAACAATTCTGAAAGCATTCCCTGTGAAAACACACAGTCCACTTGCTGACGTTGTATGTTTGCACGTCAGGGCGCTGATTTTGGCTCTCCCTTTACCTTGTGACCAAGTCTCTGCTTACAAGGCGACACAAACACACTACATTGAGCTGCCCTTGTATTCGCAGTACGAAAATAGGAGAAAACAAAATTCCTTTGAAATTATTCCTGCACAATTTGTCACATTTCTAGCGTCTGATTTGACGTTATTTTCCGCCTAATAAAATCTACTGGTTCATTTGAACTCTTAGATCCATACCACCCGCATGGTTAAATCGCATTCCGATTGATCTAATCGAATAAGCATTTTCCCTTCGATCATTTCAAGTACTTACCCAGACCGTTCAACGCAGGAAACGTCAAAACAGAGAAGTGTTTGGTAATGTATCTAATTACTAGGGATAACGAGTCTCAATGCGGATCTGATTAGACTCAGATGGCCCTAGTAATGCCAATAGGTATTTATTGCCTCGCCTTTGGATGAACAGCGTAAAACCCGAAAGGGCAAAATGACATTTATTTGATCTGTCGTTTACTGGTTAGTAGAATGTTTGGATCAAACGATACTGTTTGTCCTGAGAGAGGGGGACAGGAAGGGAGGAGGGGAAGGGGAATGAAAGGGGATTTACAGTTTAAGTCGCATGAAGCGTGAACAATTATTGATGCTATACGTGTTTGCATACGTTTGTGTGTTTACGCCACATGAAAGATTTGTGTGAAAGCGTGAAAAATGTGTGCGTGAGAAAGAGAGAGAGAGAGAGAGAGAGAGAGAGAGAGAGAGAGAGAGAGAGAGAGAGAGAGAGAGGGAGTGAGTACGTTTAATTGTACGCCTCTTTTAGCAATATTCCAGCAATATCACGCGCGGACACCAGAAATAGGCTTCACACATTATACCCACGTGGGTAGTCGAGCCCCGATCTGCGGCGTCACGACTGAACACCTACTGACAACCACCAGGCTATCCTACAAGATAAGGTGGAGTTGTGGTACTCAGGAATCATGCCGTAGTGGAAACATGTATACCCCAGTGAGACACAGTACTGGTGACAATGACATGATTATGAGCACACATTATCACAACAACTGCCACCTTTAAACGTCTTCTGAAATGACAAGGTCGGGCTTCGACCACAAACCTCCCGTTACCCGTACATAATCTCTTCCCATTGCGCCACGTAGGCGGTCGGAGTTATGAAGTCCGACCTTTAATATTAATTATAACGATGTGGACAAGATACCTTTTCAGAATGCTCATACATCGAACACTCCCGAATAATAGTCGTGTTCAAGGCGTCGTGTTAGCTGCAAAGGGAATAAAATATCTTAAGATGGCTCCCTTTTGGTCAGCCGTACACCTAAGGCGTAACAAACCTGTATTATGAAGAATTTAAAAGTTGAATATTTGATGTAATTCATTTTTCTACGTTTCAAAACTTAATAGGTTAGTCCTTACCTTCTTTTCAGACTGGTTAACTGGTTGTAACCACCTCACAGGTATCGTGAGGCAAGGGGTGGCAGGTTTGGCGTTAGATCCCCTGCGTCGTAAGAAAAGAATTCAAAAGATGCTAACTTGATTTTAAATTTTATCGCCAGTTACAATGTATTTTTTTCTTTGCTTCAATGCAGTCTAGTATTCATATCATTATTACATAAAGGAAATGCACGAAAATGGCATATTCCCACAAAAACAGGCTACCGATCTGTTCATTCTGAAACGTCGTAAGTGCTGTTTCTACATGTGACAGTTTCGTATGTGAAGTAACTCATATTTATTAGATATTTTAGTAACGCAGCATTTATGTTCATCTCTTGTCATTACCCTAATCCTTTCATATTCAAAGCGCAGTCTTGGCTGATCATAACCTTTCGAAAATGTGACCGAATGTCTCTGGGAATATGGACAAGCTGGTTATCAGATTAGTCGCCATCTTCACCTTCAACGGTCACCTCAAATATTATCATGATCCAGGGGTTTTGTTTCCTTTAAAAAAATACGGTCATATTATTTTTTCTAAAAAGGAAACTTTACTCAGGTCATAACTTGGTAGCTTCTGTTAAGTGGGGAGAATACAAATACCCACGGTTATTGTCAGTTGGATATAAATTGTAGACGAATGTGTAATGGATGGGTAAGGGATGGAGTGATGGGAAATGCGGACGTAAGCTAAGATTAATGGGGGACTTTTCACTAAAACATGATTCTATGGCGGCCATTTTGCACGTCAAAGTGAATTACAAAACTCTCAAAAGAGTTTCATCCGGGCAATACAAAGCAAATTCATGGGACGTTGACAGCCCTCTCAATTAGCATATTACTGTTCATCCAGATCAGGCTTTTGAGCTCTTTTGGGTATTTGAGCGGCTTCTAAAGGTTTCCGTCATACGGGTATCGTTCATGGCCGAATGACCAGCTTCGGTCGCTGCCCAAGGTATGATACGGTTGTGCCTAGTGCATGATGGGAAGGACTTCCGGAACGCACGTCGAAATCCGTCGCCCATGAAGGCATAGACGAAGGGGTTCACGCAGGAGTTGAAGAAGGACAGAGTATGTGCAATGAGCTTGATGTTGTAGAGGACTTGAGTCTTCGGGAATTTGGGATGGAAGTGGTAGGCAAGGCTGAAGGCGTGAATGGGAAGCCAGAGTGATGCGAACAGAATGACCACTATGGCCACCATCTTGGCGACCTTACGACGGCGTCGGTCATGCGTAGTGTTACCGGAAGTCCCCTCGCTAACCGCTGGCTGTGGATCCTGCAAGAAAAAAATGGAAGGAAATACATGCATCTTTCCATCTTGTAATGGTTCCGGTTGTGAAGTTCTGGAAAATGAAGGCAAGGGATCATGTTGACATGTTTACACTGTCTCTAAAAATTGTGGGAGTTGTTTGTTGTTGATAACGTCTCTCAGCAATGTACCAGCTATATGACATAAATATATAAGACCGGGAGCTTCCTGAATATAGATCTACACAGATGTGACACGATTACTTCCTTCAACCATGTCAACAAGCCTGACAACCGATCCCGTTTATTGACTCCCACGACAAACATTAGTTGCTGAAAAGCAATTCTAACCTGGATCTTCAGTTGTCATTTTTCGTAAAAACCAAACGGACCATTCGGAAGCGACCTTTCAGGATATTAATGTACTTGAAACGCACTTCGATTTCAAATCGAAATTGAGGGTTTGGTGCACAAATACCTTCACACCCAAACCTGACATTTCCAGCTAGGAACTTTGATATTGCTCTTGTTTTTCCATCGATACTGAAAAAGAGACTTTGGCTTAATCGGCTGACTTTTCGGAAACCTATCAACTCCTTGAGAAGACATGTCAATGACATGCTCCATATCACCATTACCTAATCACACACACACACACACACACACACACACACACACACACACACACACACACACACACACACACACACACACACACACACACACACACACACACACACACTCACACACACACACACTCCACACTCACAACACACTCACACTCACAAACACACACTCACAAACACACACACATCCCACCATATTTTCGATATTGTTCCCTGTCACTGTATCTCCAATATCCTCATCGAATAATAAACATGTTTATGGGTTATAGAAAGTCGCTAGCCTTCAGGCATGTGAGTGAGTGAGTGAGTATGGTTTTACGCTGCTTTTAGCAATATTCCAGCAATATCACGGCGGGGGGCACCAGAAATGGGCTTTACACAATGTACCCATGTTGGGAATCGAACCCGGGCCTTCGCGTGACGAGCGGACGCTTTTACCACTAGGCTACCCCACCGCCCCTTCAGGCATGTCAACTTGTCCCCAGTTAATGTCGTGATATATCTGGACTTCTAATCAAGGTAACTGACGCTTCTGTGAAATTTGTGACCTTTAAAAATATGTTCCCTCAAGCTTCCGGATTATCAAATAACAAACTGTATCACCACATTTCATTTCCTGGTCTGAGACAGTGAACTCCTAACATCTCAGCATCCACCATATCCTTATTATCCCCAAAGGCAATGAAAACATTGGAATTCTTTTATTCAATTTTCACAAACAAGTTATTTGCATTGTATCAGATGAATTCCAGATAACCATGCGTGTCAAAACGTACTCAGAGAGAGAGAGAGAGATGTTGACGGTACCTACGGAAATACTAAATACTTCGAGTTGTCCGAGGTTCGACACATCCGATAAAATACACAACTGTAGAAAGAGTACGAGGTAAACAAGCTTCTACTTCGAGACAACATAGGTTCGTCTGATCAAAGTTCGATACAACGGTGTTTAACTGCATATAACTGTCTTTAAAATTCTTTAATTATTTTCGTCACACTTTCTTTTCCAAACGAGTTCAGCATATGAAAACAGCGTCTCGTAAGCGCTCTTAGGAGAAGTCCCCAGGCAATATGTCGGAAATATTTTCGGGGAAAGTATGGCCATCAAGCTTTCATCCTCTTCCAGTACCCTACCCCAATGCCATCTCTCAACCGAAACATGAAAAACAAATTGATCTGTTTGAATCGGAATACATCTAGCTTCAAACGAAATATGTTCCTCTCTTCCTAAAGAGCTGCTTCCGTGATGATAGCAGATCCCACACACTATCCGCGACATTTGAGGGGGACCCTCACGCTAACCAAAGTTTGACTTATGCTCTCTTTCAGTGAAACACTGCAATTGAAATCCAGCTTGAAATCCCGTCTAACAATGCTTGTTAATCCCCGATGTAATTGAGTGGAAGTAGGTATTTCCAAAAAGAAGAAATACAACTTCCTCCATAAAGGAAGTGTGATATCCTAATTGATATCGACAGGAGATTCCATTGATCCTGGGGGTGTAAAAAGCTATTAAGGTTGTTCTTTTACTAATGGGCGTTTAATGTAACTTTCCGCCATTACGGAGATACTGCCACGGAGGGAGTACTTTGTGTCTCGTCCTGGATGTTGTTGCTTCATCAGCTTCATCTATTGACCAGACACTCTGGACTAAGTTCTTTTCTACCCAGCTTATGTGGGACAAGGAGGTCCTACCGGGATCTGCTGTTCGATTTCAGTATTAAAGTATGGGGGGTGTCTGTAACGTTACTTAGTTCCATGCCAATCAAATCTAGGAAAAGTATGTGTAAATGTCAGGGCATGAGACTTCTATATTTCTATTACATATAATTTTATGTGGTGTGTGTGTTTGTGTTGTCTCTTTCTCTCTCACACACACTGTCTCGCTCTCTTTCTCTCTCTCACACATACACTCTCTTTCTCCCTTTCTCTGTCTGTCTCTCTTTTTCTCTCTCGGTCGCTCTGTGTCTCTCTCCCTCCCTCCTCTCTCTCTCTCTCTCTCTCTCTCTCTCTCTCTCTCTCTCTCTCTCTCTCTCTCTCTCTCTCTCTCTCTCTCTCTCTCTCTCTCTCTCTCTCTCTCTCTCTCTCTCTCGATTATTTACAGACCGCCGCCATATAGCTGGAATAATGCTGAGTGCGGCGTAAAACTAAACTCACTCACTCATTCACCAGTAATTGAATGCAACAGAAGCAACGGCTATTCGACCCTCAAGGATACTTGGACTTCCTACGTATGTCAGATCTATGGCCAGTGTTTCCTGCTTCAATACAGTTTCATTGACAACAATAGTGGTCATCACGCCACTAAGCATCTCTAATGACCATCCAAATCACACATAATTCGAGCATAGTTTGCCGAGCAAATACAGCTATACCAGAAGGCTATATGAAGAGTCGTAAATCAATACAGCCCATCTGTGTGAACACATACACACACGGAAAGAAGTCTTGATTTCTTGTTGGTCAAGAGTACCAAGCGTGACAAGAAGGCAACGTGAGTTAATAACACTATCAGGAACAGTTCATATATGTCAGTGTTGTTGTTGTTGGTGTTGATGTAGGAGTTGGTGTTGGTGTTGATGTTGGTGTTGGTGTTGATGTTGTTGGAGTTGGTGTTGGTGTTGGTGTAGGTGTTGATGTTGGTGTTGGTGTTGATGTTGTTGTTCTTCTTGTTGTTGGTGTTGGTGTAGGTGTTGGTGCAGGTGTAGATGTTGTAGTTAGTGTTGGTGTAGGTGTTGATATAGGTGTGGTGTGATGTTGGTGTAGGTGTTGATGTTGGTGTAGGTGTTGGTGTAGGTGTAGGTGTAGGTGTAGGTGTAGGTGTAGGTGTTGTTGTTGTTGTTCTTGTTGTTGGTGTTGGTGTAGGTGTTGATGTTGGTGTAGGTGTTGATGTTGGTGTAGGTGTTGTGTTGGTGTAGGTGTAGGTGTTGTGTTGGTGTAGGTGTTGATGTTGGTGTAGGTGTTTATGTTGGTGTAGGTGTTGTGTTGATGTTGTGTTGGTGTAGGTGTTGGTGTAGGTGTTGTTTTAATAATAATAATAATAATTGGCTTGTATAGCGCCTAGTTTCCATCCTAGATGCTCAACGGCGCTGCATAACATCGTTAAAAACACAATAAGTGTGAAAAGAGTTCTAATCAGAAGCCATCTTGAAGAAGTAGGTTTTGAGCAAGTTCTTGAATTGTGAATGTGACTCAGTTCGTCTGAGGGTGACTGGAAGATTGTTCCACAGAGCTGGTGCTGCTACAGAAAAGGCTCTATCACCCATTGATGTTTTAGTGCTTGGCTGTGTTAGTCTTAACGTATCTTTTGATCTAAGAGCTCTGGTGGGTACATGCAGATGTACAAGCTGGCGAAGGTAGTCACAGGACTGGTCATCGTAGAGGCAGTTATGAGTCAGTAGCAGAATCTTGAAGTAGATCCTGTACTTTACTGGAAGACAGTAAAGGGATTTCAGAACTGGCGATATATGGTCATGACGATGGGTTCGAGAGACCACACGAGCTGCTGCGTTTTGAATTTTCTGCAATTTAGAAAATGTTGAAGATGCCGTGTTGCAAAAGAGTGAGTTGCAATAGTCCAGCTTTGAGATTACAAGTGTTTGCATTAGGAGCTTTGTTGTCTCGGTGTCTAGGAAGTTGCGGATCTTGCCGATGTTGTAGATGTGAAAGAAACATGACTTGCAGAGGGACTTGACATATTCATCTAGGGACATGTTGGACTGGAAGATGATTCCCAGACTTCTGGCTGAGTTTGAGGTCTTCACATCCTCAGTTCCTATCTTGAGCGTGATTCCAGGTGGCATCTTCTGCAGCTGTTGCCGTGAGCCTATGGCAAGGAACTGAGTCTTGCTGTCGTTCAACTTCAAATAGTTGACAGCCATCCATTCCCGGATATCCATTATGCAGCGTTCGATCTTATGAACTCCTTGTGAAACTTCTGATGGTTTGATGGAAATATACAACTGATTATCGTCAGCGTAGAGATGGAATTTTAGGGAATGACTTCTCACGATGTCTCCAATTGGTAAAATGTACAAGCTGAAGAGGAGGGGTCCCAGAACAGAACCCTGTGGCACTCCATAGCGAACCAATGATGGTATTGAGATTTTGTCACCAATCTTTACTGACTCTGTCCGAGAAGAAAGATACGATTTTACCCACTGCAGTGCCGTTCCTGTGAGTCCAACGCTGGTCTCTAGCCGCCTGAAGAGGATACAGTGATCGATGGTATCGAAAGCCGTTTTGTTGTTAGTGTTGGTGTTGTTTGGGTTGGGGTGGGGGGTATTGGTGCTGTTGGTGTTGGTGCTGTTGTTGTGTTGGTGTAGATGTTGATGTTGGTGTAGGTGTAGGTGTAGGTGTAGGTGTAGGTGTAGGTGTAGGTGTAGGTGTTGGTGTTGGTGTAGGTGTAGGTGTTGGTGTGGGTGTGGGTGTTGGTGTAGGTGTAGGTGTTGGTGTTGGTGTAGGTGTTGGTGTTGTTGTTCTTGGTGTTGGTGTTGGTGTAGGTGTTGGTGTAGGTGTAGGTGTTGGTGTAGGTGTTGGTGTTGTTGTAGGTGTAGGTGTTGGTGTAGGTGTTGGTGTAGGTGTAGGTGTAGGTGTAATTGTGGAGTTGTAGTTGTAGTTGTAGGTGTAGGTGTAGGTGTTGGTGTAGGTGTTGATGTTTGTGTAGGTGTTGGTGTAGGTGTTGTTGTAGGTGTTGTGTTAGTGTAGGTGTTGGTGTAGGAGTTGGTGTAGGTGTTGCGTTAGTGTAGGTGTTGGTGTAGGAGTTGGTGTAGGTGTTGTGTGGGTGTAGGTGTAGGTGTAGGTGTAGGTGTAGGTTGTGGGTGTTGGTGTAGGTGTTGGTGTTGGTGTAGTGTTGGTGTTTGTGTAGAGTGTAGGTGTAGGTGTAGGTGTAGGTGTGTAGGTGGTGTGGTGTTGGTGTTGGTGTTGGTGTAAGGTGTTTGGTGTTGGTGTAGGTGTTGGTGTTAGTGTTGTTGGTGTAGGTGTTGGTGTAGGTAGTTAGGTGTTGGTGTTGGTGTAGATGTTGGTGTTGGTGTAGAGTGTAGAGTGTTGGTGTAAGTGTTTGTGTTGTGTAGGTGTTGGTGTTGGTGTTGGTGTTGGTGTTGGTGTTGGTGTTTGTGTAGGTGTAGGTGTAGGTGTAGAGTGTTGGTGTTGGTGTTGGTGTAGAGTGTTGGTGTTGGTGTGTTGGTGTAGGTGTTGTGTAGGTGTTGGTGTTGGTGTAGGAGTGTTAGAGTGTTGGTGTTGGTGTAGAGTGTAGAGTGTGGTAAGTGTAGGTGTAGGTGTTGGTGTTGGTGTTGTGTTGTGTTGGTGTTGGTGTAATACAGTGTAGGTGTAGGTGTAGAGTAGGTTGTTGTGTGTAGCCAGGTGTAGGTGTAAGAGTGTTGGTGTTGGTGTAGAGTGTAAGTGTTGTTAATTATTTGTGTTGGTGTTGGTGTGTTGGTGTAGGTGTAGAGTGTAGGTGTAGGTGTTGGTGTTGGTGTAGGGTGTAAGTTGAGTAGGTGTGGAGTGTTGGTGTGTTATGTGTAAGTGTAGATGTAGAGTGTAGTGTGTTTAGTGTTGGTGTTGGTGTTGGTGTAGGTGTTGTTAGTGTTGGTGTTGGTGTTGGTGTAGAGGTGTTTGTGTGGGTGTGGGTGTAGGGTGTAGAGTGTAGGTGTTGGTGTTAGTGTAGGTGTTGGTGTAGAGTGTTGGTGTAGGAGTGTGGTGTAGGTGTAGGTGTAGAGTGTGTAGTGTTAGTGTTTGGTGTTGGTGTTGGTGTTGGTGTGTAGGTGTAAGTGGGTGTGTGTTAGAGTGTAGGTAAGTGTAGAGTGTGAGTGTAGGTGTTAGTGTTAGTGTTTGAGTGTTGGTGTAGGTGTTAGGTGTAGGTGTAGGTGTAGGTGTTGGTGTTGTGTAGGTGTAGGTGTTAGTGTTGAGTGTGGAGTGTAGGTGTTGAGTGTTGATGTTGGTGTTAGTGTTGGTGTTGGGTGGTGTTGGTTAGTATTGTGGTGTTGTTAGTATTTAGGTGTAGAATGTGTGGAGTGTTAGGTGTTGGTGTATGTTAGTGTGTAGGTGTTGGTGTAAGTGTTGGTGTAGGTGTTAGTGTAAGTAGTGTAGAGTATTGTATTGGTGTTGTGTGTAGGTGTTGGTGTAGAGTGTTTGAGTGTGAGTGTTGGTGTAGAGTGTTGGTGTTGATAGTGGTGTTGGTGTGTGGTGTTGGTGTAGGTGTAGGTGTAGGTGTAGGTGTAGGTGTTGGTGTGGGGTGTAGGTGTAGGTGTTGTTGTGTGTTGTGTGGTGTAGGTGTTTGGTGTTGGTGTTGGTGTTGGTGTTGGTGTTGGTGTAGGTGTTGGTGTTGGTGTTGGTGTTGGTGTTGGTGTTGGTGTGGTGTTGGTGTAGGTGTAGGTGTAGGTGTAGGTGTGGTGTGGTGGAGTGTGGTGTGGGTGTTGGTGTTGTGTGGTGTTGGTGTAGGTGTTGGTGTTGGTGTTGGTGTAGGTGTTGGTGTTGGTGTTGGTGTAGGTGTTGGTGTAGGTGTTGGTGTTGGTGGTGCTGGTGTAGGTGTATGGTGTAGGTGTTGGTGTTGGTGTGTAGGTGTGGGTGTAGGTGGTGTGTGGTGTTGGTGTGTGGTGTTGGTGTTGGTGTGTTGGTGTTGGTGTGTTGGTGTTGGTGTTGGTGTTGGTGTTGGTGTAGGTGTAGGTGTAGGTGTTGGTGTTGGTGTTGGTGTTGGTGTTGGTGTTGGTGTAGGTGTTGGTGTAGGTGTTGGTGTTGCTGTTTGTGTTTGTGTAGGTGTTGGTGTAGGTGTTGCTGTTACTGTTTGTGTAGGTGTTGGTGTTGGTGTTGGTGTAGGTGTTGGTGTTGGTGATGGTGTTGATGTTGGTGTTGGTGTAGGTGCTGGTGTTGGTGTTGGTGTAGGTGTTTGTGTAGGTGTAGTTGTTGATGTTGGTGTTTGTGTTGGTGTAGGTGTTGGTGTAGGTGTAGTTGTTGATGTTGATGTTGGTGTTGGTGTAGCTGGAGGTAGTGGTGGTGGTGTTGGTCTTGGTGGTGGTTTTGTTGTTGGTGGTGTTGGAGTAAGAATTGGTGGTGTTGACGTGGTTGGAGTTGATGGAGTTGGTGTTGTCTGTGTTGTGGGTGTTGTTGGTCTTGATGTTGGTCTTTGTAGTAATTGTGATGCAAAAATGACCTTTCCCTAATGCCCATCACAATGTCGAATCACCCCACTCCCAACATACGTTTAGTCCATGACCATCCCAATATGTGCATTATGTATCATTATTCCCCCCGAGATAATTTCGGTGACCCTCACCTGCATCCCTCCCCGTGCGGTAAGGACGTGCAACATCCTGGTAAGGACGTGCAACCACCACACGATAACAGCCGGATGCAATAGGACCTGGGAGTAATGCAGGGTTTCTTTACCGCTGATCACGACTAGGACAGTTAAAGAGTCATATTGATTTCTACCATAGCGTAACGAAAGCGTTACAAGTCCAGCCCTCAATCAACGTGACCTATATAAGATTTGTTTTCTCCATTTCTTTATAACACTATTATATATAACAGAATTTATGAGGAACTCCTCTCAGTACAGTTGCACCTATTCCCCACATTGTATGTTATGTCTTAACCTTAAAAAACAGCCCAATATACCTTTGCGTTTTATGTCTGAACTATAAAAACAGTCCCAAAAAACGTTTCACTTTTAATCGAAATCAAACCCCCACCCTTTTTAAGACTTGTGGTGTTAAATAACAATGGTGTGTTATACTATAACTCACGTTCACTTTCATTGCTAAGTTAGGCAAAGGTTTGTTTATGAAACACAAAATCCTCCACAGAAATAATATGGAGTGGTTCTATCATGTTTTCATATGGTTGTGTCTTTCTCTACGGTAATACAATATATCCATTCTACTAGTCTTTGCAGTGTCTGCAGATGACATTTGTAATGTCGTTATTTTAAGGCAGGGATCGTTAAGTGACAGACACAAAAAGGTATACACTTGAAAATTGGATTTGATAAAAATAGTGACAACCGTTATCAAAACGTCATGGAAACACTACAAACATATATGTACATATGTATGTATAGCTAAAACACAGCTGTGATAATAGTGTCAAGTGAGTGAGAGAGTAAGTTTAGTTTTACGCCACACTCAGCAATATTCCAACTATATGGCGGCGGTCTGTAAATAATCGAGTCTGGACCAGACAATCCAGTGATCAACGGAGCATCGAGTCACCAAGTCAGCGAGTCTGACCATCCGATCCCGTTAGTCGCCTCTTACGACAAGCATGGATTACTGAAGATCAGTATTCTAACCCGGACCTTCACGGGTCGATAATGGTGTTGACTCCACAAACATACAAATCTGTTGGTTTTGCGTTTGTTTTTTTCCTTTTCAGAAATCATCACACACACGCTTCCTGCTCGAAAATGTTTAACACTTTCTATGTACCACACAGGGGATAAGGACCCCACATGGCTGCAATGTGTGAAAGCCTATTTCTTGTGTCCCCCGCTGTAATATTGCTGGAATATTGCTCAAAGCGGCGTAAAACTAAACTCACTCACTCATGGTCGATTGCGGCCCGTGAAGATCCGGGGTAGAATAGGTCTTCAGCAACCCACGCTTGCCACAAAAGGCGACTATGCTTGTCGTAAAGGCTACTAACGGGATCGGGTGGTCAGGCTCGCTGAGTTGGTTGACACATGTCATCGGTTCCCAATTGCGCAGATCGATGCTCATGCTGTTCATCACTGGATTGTCTGGTCCAGACTCGATTATTTACAGACCGCCGCCATATAGCTGGAATATTGCTGAGTGTGGCGTTAAGCAACAAACGTACAAAATAAATAGTCATATTGTTTGCATGCCAACAACCAACCAGCCACTCATCAACACAGGTTCATTATTGACTGTGATTTGTTTTGATGAACTTCTCTCTGAAAGTAGTGTAAACCGATACCTGTACTAGGTCTAAATATTGCTGAGTGCGGCGTAAAACTAAACTCACTCACTCACTCATGGTCGATTGCGTTGTTCTTGCGTCTGTCTTGGTGCTGTGACTATATGCTAGTGATTCACCAACACATGCTCATATCGATCTGTGCAGTCGATGATATGTGTGAACCAAGTCAGCGAACCTGACTACCCGATCCCGTTAGTCGCCTCTTACGGTAAGCATGGGTTCGTGAATATCAGTTCTAACCCGGATCTTCACGGGTGTATATGTTCATAGTTGGAATAGCACAATACACTCTACCTTTAGCAGACGTTTGTTATGACTGTGGAAGCTATGATTTTGTTGTTTTTATTTGGGGTTACGCCATTCGTGACCACGCGTTATATTCCGGGACCAGCCAAAGAGAGAGTCTTCTCGGTGTTTACGGAAAGGGGCGAGTGGTGACGATTGGTGTGAGACAGTGAAGTTGGCGAATGCGCTGTTCTCATGTGGCATCTGGGAGTTATGGCGGGATTACAGTTTGAGACGTTTCATTATCACACTGTATACAAGATGCATGTATTCGGTGGCGGAGATTTGTTGCTTTTATTTTCCTGTCGGGTGAAAGGAATCTAGGGTTGTGTCAGGGATGAGATCGTGTCATTTGTTTTAGCCATGGAACAGAGCACCATACGCAGCACTCGAAGAATAAGTGAATTTAGTTTTACGCCGCTTTTAGCAATATTCTAGCAATATCACGGCGGGGGACACCAGAAATGGGCTTCACCCATGTGGGGAATCGAACCCATGTCTTCGGCGTGACGAACGAACGCTTTAACCACTAGGCTACCCCACCGTCCCGAAGAATACAGAACATACGATACCTTCGTAGAATTGTTGAAATACTTTTCAATAATCTGTTTACTCTCGGAGATTCGAGGCAACGTAATCATAAAGACATGTACGTGTTTTTTGTGTGCGTGCGTGCGTGCGTGCGTGCGTTCGTGCGTGCGTGTGTGTGTGTGTGGTCGGTTTGGTGGATGGAATGTTTGTGACTTTCTACTGTCCAGGACGGATCACATGCTGTGCGCGATGGGCGTCTTGGGATTAGAGTTACATTCTATCATGAAATTAATCTCCACGAAATCATATCAAATAAACATTCTCTTCTCACAAGAAAGTTTACCGTGACATTAGTTAAGGCATGAGCCACAGGAGGATCATCGTCGTGGACACAAGATATATCACGATGTTGTGACATGATAAGCAGGCTGTAAAATATGGTCAAAAGAATATGTTTATGTCGAAATTTGTTCGTCATATTGGTTTCCATAGGGCCTTTCTTCAATAACACAGAATGTTCCTACTGCGTGAATTTAACATAACAGTTTAAAGTAAAGAAATCAGAGTGAGTGAGTGAGTATAGTGTTACGCCGCAAACAGCAATATTCCAGATATATGGTATGTAAATAATCGAGTCTGGACCAGACAATCCAGTGATCAATAGCAGGAACATCGATCTACGCAATTGGGATACGATGACATGTGTCAACCAAGTCAGCGAGCCTGACCACCCGATCCCCCTACCGACATGAATGGGTTGCTGAAGATGAATTCTAACCCGGATCTTCACAGGTAAAGAAATCAGATGATTTTAAAAGTTCGTATACTTATTGGTGGTATCACCTTGTTCTTTGGAACGGTGTTCTATTGTACTAAGCCACTGGATGGTCAAACCTTAGATTTCCCTTTTACACCAATCTAATAATTCAGTGTAGCATTCTGTGCTTATGACGTCATCCATCTTTCACAATAGTCTACTATGACGTGAAAGTCAGGATACACTCATTTATCAAGCTGTGTTTAAAACCGTTTAAAGTCTCGATTTTAGACGAGGATTTATTCAATATGGCAGTTGCTGTCCTTGATTACTCCCGGAACAAATTTATGTGAGTGAGTTTAGTTTTACGCCGCTTTTAGCAATATTGCAGCAATATCACAGCGGGGACACCAGAAATGGACTTCACACATAGTACCAATGTGGGGATCGAACCCGGGTCTTCGACGTGATGAGCGAACGCTTTAACCACTTGGCTACCCCATCACCCCGGATATGAGATTCGAACGAATTACGAAACAATCGGCACGCCTAAAGGATACATCTCTGCATAGCAAATCTCGTCGTATAATACAGCTGCGTTATTTGTCCCCAAGTCAATAATCGGAACTGACAACAGAATCATTCAACAATAAATATGGATGAAGATGGAGGCGTGTTCACTCACGTTGTCTCGCCGAGTGGTGACCTTGTTCTTCCACAGATGTTTTAGGATGAGGGTGTAGCAGAGGATGATGACGGTGAGCGGGAGGACGTAGGTTGCCATGACAACCGCCACGGTGACACCCCTCTGCCAGCGTGGGTCGGGCCATTCCGCCTTGCAGTAGACACGGGGGCCGCGGTAGTAGTCGGTGACGACGCGGTAGTAGAGGATGTAGGGAGTGCTCAGCGAAAACGAAGCTGGAAATAACAATATGGTTCTATTATAGCACACAAACACGCATAAGGGGATATTTTGTCTTATCAGATGTGGGCGTACAGTGCTAAATATGCTGAATTTAGACCTAGTACAGGTATCGGTTTACACTACTTTCAGAGAGAAGTTCATCAAAACAAATCACAGTCAATAATTAACGCAACGTGAACCTGTGTTGATGAGTGGCTGGTTGGTTGTTGCCTTGCAAACAATATGACTATTTATTTTGTTCGTTTGTTGCTTAACGCCACACTCAGCAATATTCCAGCTATATGGCGGCGGTCTGTAAATAATCGAGTCTGGACTAGACAATCCAGTGATCAACACCATGAGCATCGATCTACACAATAGGGATACGATGACATGCGCCAACCGAGTCAGCGAGCCTGACCACCCGATCCCGTTAGTCGCCTCTTACGACAAGCATGGGTTACTGAAGACCAATTCTTACCCGGATCGTCATGTCAAAAGATTCGAACCCGGGTCTTCGGGAAGAAAGGTCGATCCACTGCAGAAAATGCGCACTATAGCTGTACAATGTATATCGTATTCAGACCGCCTCCCTGGCGTAGTGGTTAGAGCGTCCGCCCGGAGAGCGGAAGGTCGCGGGTTCGATCCCCGACCGCGTCATACCAAAAAGACGTTAAAATATGGTACTTGTTGGTCCCTGCCTGGCGCTCGGCATTAATGGGTACAACAAGGACTGGTCGACTCGGAATCAGTATAATGTGTCTGAGTGGGGTATTCATGTTTCACTGCGGCATGGTATCTCAGTGGGCTGTCACTATAAAACCAGCTTCAGTCTGGGCTAGTACAAGCAGCCGCACATACACATACACACGCATGCACGTCGTCACATGAGCGAAATATTCTCAAGCACGACGTTAAACCCAATTTCACCTCACCTTCACCGTATATCGTATTCTCAGACTGGCCAGACATCGTTATTCACAGTTTTTAAACCGATATATTCTTTCTTACTCGCTTACCCCGGAATATGTGTGTTATATTTCATCGAAAGTTGATTTGGAATGTAGTTCCCATTAAACTCGCCATCTTGTGATACCAAACCTACCTCGGTGGTTAGCACATTACATCACGGTCCTTTCAGTGTGAATGTGGAAGTAATTGTGTTGAGACTCACTCACTCACTCACTCACTCACTCACTCACTCACTCACTCACTCACTCACTCACTCACTCACTCACTCACTCACTCACTCACTCACTCACTCACTCACTCACTCACTCACTCACTCACTCACTCACTCACTCACTCACTCACTCAGAACCAGTCTAACGTCACCTAGTATGGTGTCCATGTAAAACAGCGGCATGGGGTCTCGCTGGGACAGCACTATTAAACTGTCATTTGTCCGAAATAATACAATCAGACACACACCCAATACAAATCCTATTTCCCACCTCAAGTATTACTCTGAAAAAAACGCGTAATATTATAAACGCTCAAAATACACGCATAAAACACGTTAGGCAATGAAACCAGCTGCCAAGTCACGGGACAGAATACCAGTCAAGGTCTGGCTAACAGGGGATACAAAACAATCCTTACTTCGCGGAAGTTTTACGTAAGAAAGTGTTTCGCTTTGTGTACCATAAACCCTAGAGAGTAGTTTTACACGTGGCTGTGAATTTATTACAGATATAATCCCTACTTTCGTGCTTTTTCCACAGATTGACTTAGAATATTTAAAGTTGAGACACACTTTGAGTCAGGCCCCTGAGACCAATTTCAGTTGACACTGTGTTTGACGATGCTCGGTGGATGAATTTGGTATAAGTGTCTACGTTTGTGAAAATATATTTTTCAATTTAATCAGTCGGGGTGTAATCCACATGGGAGGAGATGTAATATTTTTGTTAAAGAATGTGATAATTGGAATAAAGAAATGTCATTATTATGTCACTAAAATATGCTAAACGCTTATAAATTCAGCGTCATAGGTTTCATCCTCACTAATGCCTGACTATTGTAAGAAAAGGTTTTGAAACTAATGTGTTTTCTTCTGTTACCGAGGGCATTTTTTCATTATACTTTTTATGCCATTCAAGTTGTGCAGTGGACAAATGAAAAAGGTATTTTATGGCCGCTTCATGTTGTATGGTAGTTAAAGTGAAAAGCTTTGGTTTAATGCCTCTTTAAGGGGCGTTGGGGCGGTAGGGTAGCATAGACGTTGAAGTGTTCGCTCGTCACGCCGAAAACCCGGATTCGATTCCTCTCCTGGGTACAACCGCCATATAGCTGGAATATTGCTGAGTGTGGCATAAAACTCAACTCACTCAACTCACTCACTCCCGCGGAAGGTCGCGGGTTCGATCCCCGACCGCGTCATACCAAAAGACGTTAAAATATGGTACTTGTTCGTCCCTGCCTGGCGCTCGGCATTAATGGGTACAACAAGGACTGGTCGGCTCGGAGTCAGTATAATGTGTCTGAGTGGGGTATTCATGCTTCACTGCGGCATGGTATCTCAGTGGGCTAGCACTATAAAACCAGCTTCAGTCTGGGCTAGTACAAGCAGCCGCACATACACACACACACGCATGCACGTCGTCATATGAGCGAAATATTCTCAAGCACGATGTAAAACCCATTTTCACCTCACCTCACTCACTCCTGGGTACAATGTGTGAACCCCAATTCTGGTGTCCCCCACCGTGATATTGCTAGAATATTGCTAAAAGCGACGTAAAACTTAACTCACCCACTAACTCACATGAGAGTCTCTGTATGACACATGCGATGTTACTTGTTCATCGAAATACACAGGTACTAGACATCCAAATGATGATGATGATGAAGTTTAAACTAAAAGTAAGGGAACCTGAACTTTCAATTTTGATAATAAGTATAAGCGTTAACAAACGTTTCAAACAGACATCTTATGAACACACCACCATTTCTCTTTATCACCACCTTAAACACAACCCATGAGACACACGTACCTAACGCAGTAGCCCGATACTTGTGTATTGGGTGTCATTTTGACGGTTTTCAAGAAGATCGATAAATCACTGTAGACCATTAATTTTAACAATCATCTTGCATCACACAGGTGTTAGTGTTTGCTTCTAGCTGGTTTTTTTGTTTAAAAATGAAAATCGTATACATGCACATTTTACGTCATACACCAATCATCTTTCAAGAGCGATTACTATACAAACAACTATGGTCATAAGGAAGTGCAAGTGGGGATGCACTCTCAAAACATTCAATAATATCATATCAACATTGACTGACTCCGATACATCTCCCGTTTTTTCAATCGTAAACTGAAAATGAAGTTCCCCTACTCTTTTTAAGAGTATGTTTGTTTGAATGGCATTTTTGTGAGGTTAGTGATTTAATAACGAAGCACACACTTTTCGAATGACTTCTTGTTTAAGATTTAGCTTGATAACAGTGTAAGTATCTACACCGAAACGTCACTCCGCCCATAATCAAGAAGTTGTTATCCAGAAGGTTGTATGGTTCGTTATTAAAGATGATCCATTAGTATCGGATTCGAACCAACGAATTTACTCGATAATGGTTCTTGGTGGGTAGGCACACAAGTGACAAGCTTATCAGGCGTCAGAGTGATATTTTCTTCGTGTGAGTAGTGTTTTGCTTTTGGCAGTTTTCAAAACAATAACATGATAGAGGTCAAGAACGTGCTTTACACGTTGTACCTGTGAGGGGAATTAAACCCGGGTTTTCGGCATGACGAGTGGCATATATAACCACTGGGCTACCCATGCTCCGGTAATATTCTGGTACGCTACCTACCTAACCAGATTCCGATGTTGATGAAGATGGGTACTTTCGGCGTCCTTGACCTCAGGGATCGTATGGGATGGACGATGGCAAAGTAGCGGTCGACGGTCATGGCGGTCAGTGTAAGACACGTAGCCAGCAGGTTCACCTGAAGGTCATTAGAGGAAACAATATAACTGTCTTACAATATGTAATCAGTGATGAAAAACTATTTTGTCTGAAAATATTGAATCGACGTTTCACTCATGGAAAATACACTTTATGAATCAATGGTATCCCAGCATGGTTCCCGGAGTCTGCCTCGATAACGCTTTGAAGCGTTAGTGCAGCAGACTCCGGGAACCAGGTTGATGCTTTTCTCGATTGTCATCACAACGCACGGGAAGGCAAAATGCAATAGGCAGTAATGCATGATGCTAAAATGTAACGTGCAAGAAATGGATGTTCGATGGTGTTGAATTGATACGAATTGCAACGCTTCTGTTTTGTACCTTAGGTTTGTATTTTCAGCTTGGAACCGTATTGATAAGGCGTAGATTTGGGTGTTTACTTTCAGCTGAAGTGAGTGATTGCTTATGGAATATCTGATCGTTTCATACAGTACCTATGCACATATATACTTGGCAGAACTGTCGGTGGCATTTTAGTAAGTTGGTTGGTTAGTTTGTTGTTTAACGGTGGTGGTCTGTAATGGTGGTGGTTTAATATGGCGGTGGTCTGTAAATACTCGAGTCTGGACCAGACCATCCAGTGATCAAAACCATGAACATCGATCAACGCAATAGGGATACGATGACATGTGTCAACCAACTCAGCGAGCCTGACCACCCGATCCCGTTAGTCGCCTCTTACGACAATCATGGGTTATTAGTGAAGACAAATTCTAACCCGAACCTTCATGCAACATATCAACCACTGGAATGCTAATTACATTTTTTGACGAAGAGCTCTAGCATCTTACATCATGTATTTCCTAACATTATATGCTACATGATGACACACCACAACACGGCAGTCTAGAACTTGATTCAACAACATGCTGTTGATAAGGTTGTTCATGATTTAAGGTACATACTTCTTTTCTGATATTCATGTAGACATGGATACAATATATATAGTTTCTTTCTTGTGTTAGTGAGTCCACAAAAGTCCCTTTCTAACCTCAATTATTCCGTTAATCATGATTGAACTGGCTAATGATCATCACTTATGTCATGTGTTTGGTCGTGGAAATTTGTATTGAAGAATGATCAAGTGGTCAAGATTCGCATTTACAAGGTTCAAGTACTAGTTTAGCCCTCAACTCCGATGTATTCATGCATTTTGTCACTAACGAGATTCGTATTTACAAGGTTCAAGTTTAGCCCTCAACTCAGATGTACCCATGCATTTGTCACTAACGAGATTCGTATTTACAAGGTTCAAGTTTTGCCCTCGATTCAGATGTACCCATGCATTTTGTCACTAACGAGATTCGTATTTACAAGCTACATGTAACATTGTGTATCCATAATGACGTTCAAATGTAGCACTGAACTCAGGTTATCATATTTCGTGACTACGATGCTCGTATTAACGAGGTTCGAGTTTATCCCTCAACTCACATGTATCATGTACTGGGTCAGCTTGCACACGTCGTTCCCGTACAGCCAGTCCAGAGATCCGTACATCGACGTTGTGAGCGAAACCACGATCGTCATGAACGCAAAGTCCGCAATTGCGAGGTTGATTACAAAATAACTTGTCGCCGATCTGTCGCCATGGCAACACATGACATATATGACGATCAGGTTGCCTAGGGAACCGACGGCGATGATGATACCCCAGATGACCGTGATGAGCATGACGTGGAGGGCGGTAACCATAGAGGAATCTTCGGTGAAGGTCACGTTGGCAGAGGTGACGGACACGTTCGCGGTGATGTCGTAAAAAGACACCGAGGTCGTCTCCATGCTGTCCCTAAAATAAAGAAACACAAGTGAAAGCATGACGCTGCGGTGGATCAAAACCCCGACCTTCCCATCGCCGGGCGCACGTCTCTCAACAAGACCAGGGACGCCGTCAGTTAGGCCATGCACGCTTGTGCAACGGAACGTAATTGAAACATTTATAGTTAACATTGGCCGAGTAAGCATGCACTGTAATTTCAGAATTACGTAATTAGTAGAATAGGAACTAGTGGCACCATGTGTCACATTTGGGATGGTCAGGTTCGCTGACTTGGTTGACACATGTCATCGTATCCCAGTTGCGTAGATCTATGCTCATGATGTTGATCACTGGATGTCTTGTCCAGACCCGGTTATTTACAGACCGCCTCCATGCAGCTGGAATATTGCTGAGTGTGGCGTTAAACAACAAACCAACCAACCAACCAGCCCCTACTAGTGTGCCAGAAACGTGATTGTGTTTCAAGGAATGGATTCCCGAGCTAACGGGTTGCACACGCCTGGTAGATATCTCAGACCTGAGTCACTTCGGGCTTTGTTCCCAAGTCAGACCAACAGTAAACAATTGTTCCCAGCGAACTTAAAAATGACCTCACTCACCCTCTTATATATTTAAGGTCTCCGAACATATATATACGGTCCGCCGCAGAGAGATTCTATAAATTGATGTGCATTAAAGAAAATATAACCTCATACCTTTGCCGACGTGGGAGTACTGTCTGGGCTGTTTGTCACAACAGGATACAGATATAACTGGCACGGACCCTTATAATAGCACGATGCAGGTATCACTGTCACGGTCCCTTGTCACAGCAAGATGAAGATATACCTGTCACAGTCCCTTGTCACAGGAGGATGCAGGTATCAACGTCACAGTAACTTGTCACAGGAGGATGCAGGTATCACTGTCACAGTCACTTGTCACAGGAGGATGCAGGTATCACCGTCACAGTCACTTGTCACAGGAGGATGCAGGTATCACTGTCACAGTCACTTGTCACAGGAGGATGAAGGTATCACCGTCACAGTCACTTGTCACAGGAGGATGCAGGTATCACTGTCACAGTCACTTGTCACAGGAGGATGCAGGTATCACTGTCACACAATTCCCTTGTCGCAGGAGGATGCAGGTATCACTGTCACACAGTCCCTTGTCACAGCAGGATGCAGGTATCACTGTCACACAGCCCCTTTTCTCAGCAGGATGCAGGTATCACCGTCACAGTCCCTTGTCACAGCAGGGTGTCAGGTATCACTGTCACACAGTCCCTTGTCACAGCAGTGCACAGATATTCCGGGCACAGTCCCTTGTCACAGCAGGATGCAGGTATCACCGTCACAGTCACTTGTCACAGAAGGATGAAGATATACCTGTCACTGTTCCTTGTGACAGAAGGATGAAGATATACCTGTCACAGTCCCTTGCCACAGAAGGATGAAGATATACCTGTAACAGTCCCTTGCCACAGAAGGATGAAGATATACCTGTCACTGTTCCTTGTCACAGAAGGATGAAGATATACCTGTCACAGTCCCTTGCCACAGAAGGATGAAGATATACCTGTCACAGAAGGATGAAGATATACCTGTAACAGTCCCTTGTCACAGAAGGATGAAGATATACCTGTCACTGTTCCTTGTGACAGCAGAATGTAGCAATTAGTGGTAGCTTAGCTTAACACAAAAGGATGAAGTAAAACTATGCGGCACAGTGTTTATTATCCACACACTCCGTGCACATCGGTTGCCTTTTGTGCTCTGTGCTGTTTAACCCAATGTGAGAGGTTCCCCTGTATAGTCCTCTGATTCATTAACTTGTAGGGCTTCACAATTTAACCAGAGGCTTCTCACACGGTGTATTGCCATGGCAATCACCTCTAACAGTCTAGCACGTGCTAGGTACATGGGCAATAACGATAACATGTTTGTGACTTTCTCTCTGCAGTAGTGAAATAATTGAGCAGATGAAATAAGTAAGGCTGAACAGAGTTCAACGTCGCGTTCAGGATAATACAATTTTTACCCCAAAATCCCGAGAGGGAGAAAGGGTACAATGAGGTAATATATGTTAACGTCTAAGGGTATGGTCATTGCGGTGTCCTCTCACAGATAAAATAGTAATTTGCAGAAATTATTTTGTTTCATAGTCTTTGCTGCCGAGTTGCTTCTACCAAACACGTGCATACCATGCAGGCTCATTGCAACACTGCATTTGTTTGTTTGTTTATTGTTTGTTCGTTACTACCGTGCTTAACGTGACAAGCAAACACGGCAGAGCTGCATTCACTAAATCAAATCTCTTCATCGGCTTCCAGTTCACTTCCACATCAAGTTCAAGCTCCTGTCCCTCACCTTCCAATGTATATCCGGACAAGATTCAGTCTACATCCGCAACCTTCTTCAGATCTACCAGCCTGCTCGAACTCTCAGATCCCAGACCAAGTCTCTCCTTCTTATCCCCAATACAAACACTGTCCGCTATGGCCAGAGATCATTTGCATATGCCTCAGCTACTGAGTGGAATAATCTGCCCCAAGAACTCAAAGACTCTCAAACCATGTCATCTTTCAAATCCCTACTAAAGACTTTCCTCTTCCACCAAACTTTCCCTGACCGTTAATATTGACCAGACTGTGCGCTTTGACCATCCTTATGTTTGGAAATTGCGCCTTAGAAATGCACTTTTATTATTTTGTCAAAAGCGAATCGCTCATTGTACGATTCCAACCACATCATGAGCGAGTTTGTGAATCGTATTACATATACTCAACAAAATCAGAAACTTGACACTAACATTATTGTTGGGGAGAGGGGAGAGGAATTATTTTTATTATTCCGGTTGATGTAGGTTATTTTGACATGGTCTTCACGACCGACTTGAAACCTTTCATTTTAAAGCATCAAACATTACAATCACTTGCAGCGGGTCACATGATAACCAATCGCACGTACATTGGAATGCATGCACACACACACAGTCTAACAGGAACGCGCATCACACAGTTTCGTGTTGAGTATATCAAGTGGTTGTAAGTGGGAGCGCGTGAAGTATAAGGTCATAGGACATTTTTTGCAGAGAATACAAGTATTGTACTTTGTTCCCACTAAAATAAACTTTTGACTTGATTGGATTGATAATGTCTTTTGCAGACTACCGACAAAAATCCCATCGTAAAAGTATGTCCTGCGTTCATTAATATCTACATATTTTGATTTTGTTTGTTTGCTGTTTATGTGCAATTTTCCTCCCTCACTGCAATTACAAGTTTCTAAATGGACAACATCATTTGAGCGTAGAAAACACATTGATTTCTGAAGGATTCTCTCCGTTGATCCCTATTTCTTTCAGATACTCTTGGAGGAAAATTCGGGATATTGAATACCCTGACGGTATGGGACCGCAGAAATTGTGATTAAAGTGTTAACTCGTTACGCCAAAGACCCGGGTGGTTCGAGTCTCAAGTCGACTAATAACCGCACGGTTAATGTTTACGTTATGGATACCGATTACTCGCAATCGTGTAGTTTCCACGTTTTCCCATGTCAAGAAAATTTAATATTTAGTTCTAGTAAACTGCGGTTCACATACTGCAATTATGCAAATGAATTTGTACTTTGACAGCTGTGTTGCTGTATCATAAACCTCAACGCGTTTTGAGGAGTTAAACATTCTTCTTTATTCGGAGTGAGTGTTACACTGCGCCAAACTCACAATTCACATACAAAACTGGAGTTTTCTTCCTTTACATCATAAAAAACGGAAAAGTAACTAACTTAACCGAGCAAAACCCGTGTATTCTAGTACGAAAAACACATGACGGGTTTACATATCCGTCACAGTACAACTATGTTCTTGGAGTCTTCGTTTGATATATCTTTGTTCCCGAGGATAGTCCCGACTGCATTGACGTTGTGTACTGTGGTGCTTCAGCGGCCCATACGATGAACCATAAATAAACTATGACAATATTTGTGGTACGTGGCATAATGAATTTGAAGAAAAGCGACAAAACCCTTTCCACTTCCAAGAACAATCTTTGCCAAAGCAGACCGGTAAATACGAATCAGACTTCACAATGACCTTGTGTTTATGGAACACAATAAACAAATTATACCTATGCCTATTACAGTTACCAAGGTAAATGGTATATATTTCAATATGTAAATATCCCCCTTTCATAACATATTTGACACGTGAAGATCCGGGTTAGAATTGATCTTCAGTAACCCATGCTTGTCGTAAGAGGCGACAAACGGGATCGGTCAGGCTCGCTGACTTGGTTGACACACGTCATCGTATCCCACTTGCGTATATCGCTGCTCATGCTGTTGATCACTGGATTGTCTGGTCCAGACTCGATGTAGAGAGCGCCGCCATATGTCTGGAATATTGCTGAGTGCAGCGTTAAACAACAACCAACCAAATAATATCATATGATGCATATATACTGGTGTTTAGAGATATATGACACGTCACGGTACGACCTGGATTTATGATTTCACTCCCGTGGGGAACAATGAGCAGCCATTATGTCAACACCCCGTCTACCCGCACATCACGAGTTGATACCCAGTACGCAAGGCTGAATAAAATGTAGGTTAACAGACCACGAAACTGTGCATAGCCCCGAGAACACTGACCGTGGTAACACGTCAGGCTGATTGCTTGTGTTGGCCTTATTGCTGATAGCTGCTGAAAGTTGTTGAGGTGAGCTTTACGTTTTAATTTTCATAAGTATTTCATTTAACCTTTCATGCATTACTATCTTATACTTACTGACCTTCATCTCCTGATATTTTGTAAAAATGTATGTTCCACTTGGGGCATGAAAACAGACAATTATGCACACTAAGAAGATCCTGAATATACCAGCATTAGTTTAACAATGGTTCAATGCATTTACATTCCTGTGTAATCTGTGCAATTTGTCAGAAATAGTTTAAAACACACTCTTTCGAAACTTCAAAAACGAAACTGCGAACAATGTAAACAATCAGTCATTTGAATGCAGGTATAGGTTTCACTGACTAGACAATTTTAAATAGAACTTATTGAAAGCTAAATCTTTGACAACCATAGATGTGTCAATGATGTGTCCGAATGATATATTGTGTACATGATGCATATTTCAAAACACAAAATGCAACCTCTCCAGATGAAGTCAGTCTTTTCGTCAAGTTATATTTGTAGGAACTGTTCAAACATATTTGCTTCTCATAAAGCTTTAACTGAGCACACCTTACGCCGGATTTTATAACACATAAGCATTCATAATAATTTTGGTGAGGCCAATCTGTGTGTGGAAAAGATCAGTTGTACTCGTCTTTCAGCACGGAGCAAATGACATTCAGAGAGAAAAGTGTATAGTCAATCAACCTAGCAGAAGGTATCCAACTTTAATTGGCTCAATTAATAATGATACCTGGCGACCTAATTGAGTGTTGAATGTCTAAAATTTGTGTCAACTATTAACGATTTTTAAGTTTCTGACGAAAGCAACATTTTCACAAGGGAAAAAACGTGTTCCAAAAGTAAGGTTGGCGGACTATAGGTGTTTTCAGGATTCAGCGGAAGGGCGGGGACTGGGTTGGGTAAAGTAAAGCATGGGGTACGGGGTGGAGTTTGCATCCTCTACTGCAACAGAATAACAAACACGTCCTTTACGAGTGTTGGATCACTGAGAACATAGACTTATCATGGAGGTGACACGTATCTCGTCGCCACAAGCAGAACATGTAGTTAACAAACGACAAGTGGATCTAGCAGTTTCTGATGCACTCACACGCCGTCGCCTCATTGAATGTCATGTCCATCCTATTGTATGTATTCCATAACGACTGTCACCAAGGGTATTTGCACAGACGTTATGCAAACTACAGTGTTACTTGATGCCTCTCACGATCCCTGTACAATAATAAGGTCTCGCTACCGCTACTTGTACATCCGAGGACATCCACTGCAGGCCATGTCAGAAGGACATTTTGTCCTACCAATCAAGCTTGTTAGTTTGTTGTTTGACGCCACAATAGTGCAGCTATTGACGGCGGTCTGTAAATAATCGTGTCTGGACCAGACAATCCAGTGATCAACATCATGAGCATCGATCTACGCAGTTCAGTTACCATGGCATGTGTCAACCGATTCAGCGAGTCTCACCACCAAACCCCATTAGTCGGCGCTTACGAAAACAAAGGGTATAGTTAACGATAGTTATGCAAATAGTCAGTCAGAGTGATTGTCTATCTCTCGTTTCAACTACTGCCTCACAATGTCGACCATCAGCTATTCCAGACTGTTCTTATGTTCTGTTATCAAGTTTCGAATTCATATTCGTCAAAGCGTCGTGAGGAATTGAAATCGCGATCGCCAGTTTCAAACTTGTAAAGCTGCTCTCTGATGTCGACTTCATTTAGTTAGTGCAACTGGAATACGATGAAATGTGCCAGCCAAGTCAGCGAGCCTGACCACCCGGTCCCGTTAGTCGCCTCTTGCGACTAGCATGGGATGCTGAAGACCAATTCTAACCCGGATCTTCACGGGTCCAAGTAATTGTGATATATTACCGATGTGGGACAAGTTCAATATATTTCATCTACGAATACTCATAACACACCATAAGCTAATGCAGGTCAATAAAAGTCTTGCTGTTCTACATAAAAAGTGTGTATTTATTCCTGCTCACACGACTCCAATAGGTCGTAGTGACTAGCTGATGTGGGTGAGCACCACTACACTGATTTCACATATTAAGTAAATATATGATATTACAAATCCATGTTTTAATGTTGAGTCAATGTCCCGAAGGAAATAATTTTCAGTCTGATTTTCAGTCACGTTAACGGGGTTGTCCTGCATATACGTTTGTACTTGTTCCCACTGACAATGTCTTAGATAACCTGACTTTTATATATACTTTAGACTCACTTACAACACTCATTGTATGTTATGTATATATACACTTTCTCCACTAATTTGGGGGGACCAACAGCAAACGTTATGCAGCTGAACTGCACGAGGATCATGCATCAAATTGCTGAAAAGCATGTGCAAATATTGTGCATGTGAACAGCTGCGTTTTGGTGTAAAGTTTTGTAAAGAATTCGCCAATTTTCATCAATTACTGAACTCATGACAATAATCTTTTCCAACGTTACGAATTTCTTTGCAATACATCAGTTCGTGTGTAAACAGTACCTTTAAACAGTATGGCATATTTTGACAAATTTAGTTTAGAACAGTTGCCTGAAGTAAGTGGCTATATTTACACTAGTGAGTCTAAACTTTCGATGAGAAGTATATAATCACCACTACACTGAAAAGGAAAAGCTTTCCTCTGGGAACTCCATAATATATAATCCAAGTGAAGAATGCTTTCCCATATTCATCACAAATGTAATGCACAGAGGAATCCGCAGGAATCTGAGTACCCACAGTACATAGCATCTGGGAGAAAGGTGAGGTTTAGACCGTTTGTATTTCTACAGTAGAGGAAAATGAACAAAATGATCATCTTTGAAAGGCGGTAGTTTATTCTAATAAATATGAACACATTATCACTACTGATAAAACGCTAATTTTATATAAATATTCATTGATCGTTATTGGCAATGATTATAAACGTTGTATTTAACATGTTTAACTGCCTTGCCACCAGCATTGATGATACACAGACAAAACATGTCAGCTTTGTGCACCAGTAGCCCCCGAGAGAAACTTTATCCATGGTTTCATTTATGACTAAACACAGTTACATCTCTATTTGCAGAGATTCAGGTCCAGTTACAAACAATGGAGGCACCTGAACCTATTAAGACAAAAGGGGCGGTGGGGTAGCCTAGTGGTTAAGGCCTTCGCTCTTCACGCCGAGGACACGGGTTCTATTCCCCACATGGGCACCCCCGACGTGGTATTGCTGGAATATTGCTAAAAGCGGCGTAAAACTAAACCACTCACTCAGTATTAAGACAGTGTGAAATGTTGGACTTCCTCATGGGTTGCTGAAGACCTATACTACCCCGGATCTTCACGGGTCTCATTGATAACATACATCTGGAACATGGAATAGGACACGCAGGAGATGAAAGAAAATACCCACCTGACTAAGAATAAGTGGGCCTGTGAACCCCCATCCCTCATCCCAATCTTTTTCCCATTACTCCTAAAGTTTTATTGGGCAGTGGGGTAGATTAGTGGTTAAAGCGTCCGCTCGTCACGCCGAAGACCCTGTTCGATTCCCCACAAGAGTACACTGTGTGAAGCCCAATGTGAGTCCCCCGCCGTGATATTGCTGGAATATTGCTAACAGCGGCTTAATCCATACTCACTCACTCACTCACTCACTCACAAAGTTTCATGTTTTCGATCGAACATATTCTTTGTATGGAAACTATAAATGGGGCTATACACCTCCAGTTCCCAAACGTTGGTTGCTGGGGGTAACAACATTCAGCGACTTCGGCGGGTCCTCAAAATATCATGTGCTGGACATACGAAGGACATTTAAAAAATTAACGCATCAGTGACGAAACTTGCATTTACCTAGTCTACTTCAATGACTACATCAACATGACCATTTGATATAAACTTATGATATAAACAGTATCGTACAGTTGTCTCAGCTTCCAGTAAAACAAACTGAAATGATTTGCCACTTTATGTATTTATATATTATAAAAAATACTGTACACACGGCATTAAACCACACCCTGTAACGCATTTCACTCAGGTGCACACCTTCCAGCATGACGGACTCACGTGATCCCGAAAGTGACGTCGCGTCTGTGAAGGATGTTGAGATTAAAACTGAAGCTGATGACAACCTGGACTTCGAAGATAACTGCTGGACTTCTGCAATCACGCGTCTTCAGAATTCAGTCAATGGATTCTATGAGCAGCACAAGGTTAAAGTGGCCGCTGGTGTCAAGGGTCTGCTGTTTCTGCTTTACCTGGCCTACGTCGGTTATTGTATGTACCACAAGTAAGTTTTGGTTTGTTGCGTTCTTGTTTCCAAACACTTAACAATATTCCACCCAATAACAAAGGACCATAATGATCAGGTTCAAATGAATCAAACCGGTAGTGTATAAACACAAAGGTAGAGTTTTTAGGTGGATATTGTTGCTAATACATGAAAAGTACATTGAGATTTCCACAGAATTCTTGAATCAGTTGTTGATACAACACAGATTTGGAGACGAGGGGTCTATTCGCCTACTCGTTGGAACAGTATTTGCAGTTCTCTACCTTTTAAACGGAACAATCAAACGTTTCTGCAAGCTCCCAAGCCTTGAAAGATGCACATCCGTTTGGGGAGGGAGTAAAAAGGCTCTCTCAGTGCGACGATGGATCAGAAGGTATTAATATCAAATATATACATCTTCGCATAAAATAAGCACCACCCATTATTTTTACTAATTAATTTGACTCAAATGAAATTCTAAACTCTTTCCAAAAAAACAACATTTATAATTTGATAGAGCAAGCATTTAACATTTCAAAAACGAAAACATAATTGAAATTACCATGTATTTTAATTAGGATAATTGCCTGTATTTAAAACAGGTGTTTTTCTGTCCTAAAACAAGTTACCTTATTTTGAAAAGTGAAAGTAATAATATATTGTTGTGTGGCCTATAAATTCGTTATTTATTGTGAAGGGATGAAAGTTTGTAAACTAAGATTTAGGAAAAGTTACAGTCAAACTAAAAGAAAGGAAAATTTAATAATGCAGTAAAAGTTGCTTTACAAACAAAACAAACATATTCTAGCTGTAATTATCAGTGTCCGGCAAGGAGAAGTGTTTATTCATTACAATAAACTCAAAATCATAAAATATTTATTCCAAAATCTTATTAATGTGGCCTTTTTCAGTTTTTGTCAATTAGCAATCTGAATGGTTGGAAAAAGGTCTAAATCTTAGACATTCGGGTTCGTCCTGATTATGCATAATTAAAGCTTACTTGATGTGAAGATGTCATCTTGGTATATAACAGAATTGTTATTTTCAGTCAAAACTTAATTCAATTGTACAGTTTGAGCAGGAGAGGAATAGTTATTTTGGGTAAAAATTCAGTCCCATCACATTTTCATCAACTTATTCTTTCATAAAGAATAGAAAAGGTTATGGTATTTGTAATACTGTCAGTGGATAAAACTTGTTTAACTACAGGTTGATTAAATTGATGGCTATACCCTAACTTTTCTGTAGCGTCACATCTTATTTTCAAAATAGGGTGGTGCTTAATTAATGCACGGGTGTATATTTAAATATAACATATTTATTGATGCAAGAAATTACATTGGTCAACTTCTGTCCACAGGTTCAACACAGTCTGTTTCTAAGAACGTCTGCTTGTTTTCCAAGAATGTCTGCTTGTTTGTGAGACAAATAGTCGACCCTAATCGAGCAAACCTCTTGCACCCTTTTGAATGTCTGTAAAATCCAGCATCTTTAGCCATATCAGTTCACAGAAGTCCCTTTACTCTCAGCACACGCCATAACCCCAAGCTCTCACTCCGTTCATAGGAGCCTGTACCTACTGGTGAGTGGCGCTGTGGCTCTGTACATTGGCCTGGACGTGGTCAGGTACAACCCCCAAAATATCCAGTCACTACTGGGGGTGGGCGTCCTCGTGGTTTTTGGATTTGTCTTCTCTACCAGTCCGGCCAAGGTAAGTAGTAACGATCTACAACATGGTGTAGTTCCTACCATGTGTTCTTTAGCAATGGATGTGACATGAACGGAGCAATACTCTTCTTAAGGAGAAGAAACGAAGATAGGGATTGAATTACATATAATTTGCCTTTAAGAGCACCTGCTCTTATATCTACTCCAATGTTAATTAATGTGAATGTTATTAACGGATGTGACCACCTGGAGCCAGACAACTGCTCCACACCACGTGGAAACGCCCTTGATCCGGGTTCTTCTTTGGAATCTGTTGCGCTCATGTTCGAACGTTTCAAAGATCTGGCTGATATTCAATGGGGTTGTGGCAGAGCTACATGTTACTCTTTCCATGAGCATACCTTCAAACAAGCCTATTTCAAGACTGTACAGAAGACACATCGATTTGTTCCTTGATGCCTCTGTTGAAAATTAGATTCGCCCAGATGACTAAGTCCTATAAATATTTGGTAATGGTGGAAATCTTGATTCATGTTACTCAACAACACAGCTCAATCAGTTAGCGTCTTGTGCAAGTCAGCGTTGTGCATAATGGCGGCATACGTGGTCGTTTGCTTTGACCAATTTATTACAATAAACTCAAAATGACATTGAGTTAGGAAGACGATAAGCAACTGTCCTTGTAAGATCCCAAACCATATCATGCCTACTACTTGATATTTGTTGGCTGGTTACACTGTCTCATCTTAAACGGTGGTAGATGGGAGATGAAACTGTGGTTGCATACTTATTGCGTTGCTTTTAGGTCCCCCGAGTTTATATTTCCAACTCGCAAGCACCATTTAAACAAATTATGTCCTCCGCTTTTCCCTATTTTGACTATTTGCTCCCTTGTTATTCTCGAGGGTGGACAATAGACGTGCCTGGGCAGTCACCATTACGCAGACTAGTAATTGTTTATAGTGGTTCATAAACACTTGCTGGAGATGCAGTGGTAATCATACGATCAGCTCTGCTTCATGCAGAGATTTCCCAGATGTATGGAAAACGTTTTGATGATACCATTTGCAAACCTATTTGAATGTAACAATTCTAAACATATAATGACCAGTTCCCTCTACATCAACCCATGCTTTATTCTGTAACTACAATCGCCTCAGAGGGACAAAACATATTTTTAGTTAACAAAGTCAATGTAAACTTTTCAGGTGAACTGGCACCCGGTGTTCTGGGGCATTGCGGTGCAGTTTGTGTTTGCCTTGCTAATTCTGCGGACGTCTTGGGGTTATGGGGTGTTTGAGTGGATTGGAGAACGCGTAGAGGAATTTATAGATCACGCTGACGCTGGAGCACAGTTTGTGTTCGGGAAGTCCTTCGAGGAACACAGGATAGCTTTTGCTGTGAGTAGACTAATCGCACCTTTGCATCACTATACTATATTCTGTAACGTCAAGGTCCATACACTGCATACATTAAACCTGTAGGATATACACAGTATGTACTAATGCAGGCCACAGTCTCCATTGTCGAAATAGGAGAGTTTCAAAAGAATGTTGGTGGATAAATTATTTCCAATGATGAAAAAAGAGAAATAGTCAGAAATAGTTACAAATAGTGTTCCGCAATGCTTCTCGACTAATAGGATCTGATGGTCAGAGGCTCGCTGACTTGGTCTATGCTTTTCATTGTATCCAAACTGCGAATTGTTCATGATGGTAATCATTCGATTGTCTGGTTGAGAACAGATTACTATACAGACCGCCGTGAAATATGTGTTGATATTTCATGTGATACTGCCGTTTAACTCCATATTGTTGTTGTAGGTGATGCCAGGGGTGTTGTTCTTCAACGCCATGATAAACGTGTTGTACCACATAGGAGTACTCCAGCTGGTCATGAAGAAACTGGGATCGGTCCTGTCCTTCTGTCTAGACTGTGGGCCAATCGAGTCTGTGGTGTCCTCTGCGAATATCTTCATAGGGCTGGTAGGGGAAATGCATTACTTCTTACGTGTATAGTTTACAGGCAGTCAGTCATAGAACCAAACCAAATCTACTATTTGGCGACCCATGCTAATTGTTTTGAATCCCAGGTGAGCGTTCATTCCAATTTCGTTTAAAACAAACGTATGTCGAAAGTTTTCAGCTTGTAAGAATCGCATGTAAATTTGCTATACATTAATCGCTCAAGCTTTTATGCAAATGGAGTACTGTTTTAAAAGTCGTAAAAAACCCTCTCACTTTATGTGTACACATGAGAATTAATTAAGCACCACCTGAATTGCTGGTCTGTGGGTAGACGTCCGATCCGACGACCACGCCTGGCGTGGTGCAGGCTCCGAGAAACCCGCTTAAGAAGACCTGGCGTGGGGTCTGACGTTGAAGCAAGCATATCCTCTGGAGACGATACATGCAGCTGAATCCTTTGGTGGCGGCTCAGTGATGCTGTGTGCTGAAATTTGGATCTCATTGTTACCTGGCACACCGAATGGACACCTTGAAGCACAGGCTACTGTCCCCATGCGACATTTTCACAACTTTCCAGTCGTCCATTATTACTGGATGAAAACGTTCTCGAGCCGTCATCGGATATTTCTAGAACAAACGCCATCGAAACATTGCCATGGTCCCCTAGCAACCCTGATATGAACCTCATCGAACATTTTATCCTGGACGCCAACATCAAGCAAGAGATCCCCCTTTTCAAAATCTGCGGGAACTGATGCTGGCTGTCCATGAGGAGTAAAGGTTTCTGATGCTGAGAATTCAATGCTTGATTATGAAGAATGGACCTGAAGATGTTCTCCGTGCAAGGGGTGGCTACACCAGCTATTGAAGTGGTCGCCAGTGATGGGTCATACAATCACAACAATAATTATAACTTTAGTGAGTGAGTGAGTGAGTATGGTTTTACGCCGCTTTTAGCAATATTCCAGTAATATCTCGACGGGGGACACCAGAAATGGACTTGACACAATGTACCCATGTGGGAAATCGAACCCGGGTCTTCGGTGTGACGAGCGATCGCTTTAACCATTAGGCTACCCAAACGCCCCCTATAATTTTAGAACTGTGTGACAATCAGATTGGTGGCGCAGTCATGGTGACCTTGCCCTCCCTCACTGTTAAGATCCACAATTTTGTGTACTCGTCTCCGAGTGGAAGGGAATTGTTACCAAATTTTACATTCAGTCTTAATCAGGGTAAAATATGTTACAGTTACCATTTTGCGGAATTTTCTCTTCAAAAGACATCCATTAATATGTAGCGTTTCTGTATTTATCATATAATAAAGGTAGGTGGTGTTTCATTAATGGTCATGTGCATATTTTCTGGTTCAAGTTTAATGTTCACAATGCAGTATATATATATATATATATATGTATGTGTGTGTGTGTGTGTGTGTGTGTGTGTGTGTAGCACAAAACGTGTGATTCATAGCATATATTTCTTTCAGTGTAAAAGCGTCCATCTATGGCACGACTATTCTCCTTAACAACTTAATCTGAAGTACTGTATTAATATTTACGTAAACCCAGGGAAAAGGAACAAAAGAGCATTTCATGCTCTGAAGGAGGTTGAAATCATGAATAGTATCCTGTCTAGTACTCCAAGGGACATATTCATGCCTCACTTTGACATTTCACGTCTTTGTATTCTAACTGTACCTTTTAGGCTGAAGTGCCTCTCTTGGTCCGACCATATTTGAAGCATCTAACGGAATCAGAACTTCACGCCATCATGACGTGTGGTTTCGCCAGCGTCAGTGGTGGGATCTTAGGATCATACATCGCACTCGGAGTGAGTATCAGTTTATCTCACGAAAAACACTTTTATTTGTCTTCGATAGTATGTACCATATGACATGTCTTTTCTTTCCATATCAGAATTTGTGAAAGATAGTATGTCCACTTTGCAATTCCGTGTTTTGACTTCTCGTAGACCTATTTATTCACATAGATACTTGACTTTCCTTTGCATGTATTTATTTCGAAGTCTACCCATGACATAGGATACATTCTTCTTTTGTGAAAACCCTGAATCATCACTTCGTGATATTCGCTGCCATTTAGCATGAGTATTCCTGAGTGCGGCGCTATGCAACAAACCAACCAGCTTAGTGATAGTGATTCGTGAACTTATTTTGATACAATTAAACTCGGAAAATGGACTAAGAAGGGATTACCTTATGAATAGGCAAAACATTTTGTAGCTTGTATTAAATTGAATCTAGTTGCTACATTTGTTTACTAGAGACACCAGTGAATGAGGAAAGCGATAAATGTCGCAAGACTAAAAATATTTGTCTTGTAAATGCACGTCTGCTTCATGTAGGTTCCCGCCAACCATCTGTTGTCCGCTGCCGTGATGTCTGCACCAGCTTCTCTCGCCATCACCAAACTCATGTGTCCAGAAACCAAGAAGTCCTACTTCAGAGATGGAGTGAAAATGGATCTAGGGCTAGAGTGAGTCTATATGTTGACTGATATGGACTTCGTAGTTAGGACTTGAGTGAATGAGACACCTGGAACCTGATTGAGTTGGTTGGAAGATAGAGACAGCTGGCAAGTACTTGAGTGGTAGAGACACCTGAAAGTTCATTGAGTTGGTTGTATGATAGAGATAGTTGGGACAGAGTGAGTTGATTGAGTCATTTAGTTAACAGGGACATGGGTGATATGGCTAAATGATTGAGACACCTGAAACCTGATTAAGTTGGTTGAGTGAATGAGACAGTTGATACCTGAGTGAGTTGCTTGTGTGATAGAGATATTTTAGACAGGGTGAGTTGATTGAGGTAATTGGGACATGGGTAATATGGCTAAATAATTGAGGCAGTTGATACCTGAGTGAGCTGCTAGAGTGATAGAGACATTTGGGACAGTTGATTGAGTCGTTGAGATAATTGGGACATGGGTAATATGGCTAAATCTTTGAGACAGTTGATACCTGAGTGAGTTGCTTGAGTGACAGAGACATTTGGGACAGAGTGAGTTGATCGAGATAATTAGGATATGGCTAATATGGCTAAATGATTGAGACAGTCGATACCTGAGTGAATTGGTTGAGTAATTGGGACGTGAATGCTTTGGTGTCAGTCGGATGAGCGAGGACATTCAAAAAATTAAGAGTTTGTGGTGCAAAGTGAGATGGCAATGGACAAAACCGCCTTAGTTATTGAATGCATAACTGCCATCCTTGTCAGACTGTTACTGCCCTCATCAGCTGGGCGACTCGTTGAAGGCAGCATTGTATGACCACCTCGTATTCGTTTCACAACACGTCGCTCAGTAAAGGAGATCTGGCTAAAAATAGTTTGGTCAAGTTTGCGTTCGTGCACACAGATAACATTACCGGTTTATGTTTGTTTTGTTTGTGATGTTAGGACAATATTTCTTGTTTGTAATTCACTTAACGCACGTCATATTTGCAGAATATACTTTACACGGCTCTCATAAACTAGCCTCACAATCCCTTGTGCATTCGATCCCATTCACTGACCCTGTGTTTGATGCTCTTTTGAATGTGAGATTTGCCAGTTATATGTACATAAATATAAACAGAGCTGCTTGACATGCTCTTATATACCCACACTTAAAGCTTAACTGAATATCTGGGAGAGCTGTCCTCATTCAGATTGTCCATGCCATCGTTTTACTATAATTTCCCCACGTCTTCACAATGGAAAGTAGGGGCTGTGGGGTAGCCTTGTGGTTAAAGCGTTCGCTCGCCACGCCGAAGACCCGGGTTTGATTCCCCACATGGGTACAATATGTGAAACCCATTTCTGGTGTCCCCCAATATTGCTAGAATTTTGCTAAAATCGGCGTAAAACCATACTCACTCACCCAATGGAAAAGCATATTTGTCTGTCGCCTTGCCCTAATTTGCTCCCTGCAAGCATTGCTACAGCCGATGGCATACCTAGACTGCGAGGTACACTGAGGTACACTGGTACACTAATACATGTATAGAGCGTTCATAGAACTTCAAATGTACTGGTTTTAAAGCCTTTGCTCCATCTGCAGCCTTTGATGATCACCTGGTTCTTGAAATGATACCATCTCTCATCTATGTATTCACCCCTACCACTTACGTTTATTTACAAATATATGCGACAAAATACATCTGTCTTACTCTGATAAAATCAGAGTCGTTTGTGCAAGGGGTATATGTTTATAATGCAACTGGTGGGTGGACAGATATACCGCTCTCACAAATGCTTCGATAATCATCCATTCATATTTCCATCACTATTTTGCCTTTACACACAATAAAGTCTGTTGCTGTAGATAATCAAGATAGAACGGAATTAAAATTGGTCTTCAGTAGCCCACACTTGTCATACGAGGTGACTAACGGGATCGGCTAGTCACCCGGATGTCGCGTGTCATCCCATCTCAATTGATGGTCGTGATCTTTATCACTGGATTGTCTGGTCCAGATTCGAGTATATACAGACCGTGGCCATTAGCTGGAATACACTACGGTGTTAAACAAACAAACAATTTGATAGTGATTCATAAACGAATGGGGCGGTGGGGGAGCCTAGTGGTTAAAGCGTCAGCTCGTCACGCCGAAGACCCGGGCTCGATTCCTCACGTGGGTACAATGTGTGAAACCCATTTCCGATGTCTCCCGCCGTGATATTACTGGAATATTGCTAAAAGCGGCGTAAAACCATACCCACTCACTCATAAACAAATGGTGTTTTTTCTAATTATGATATACTCGGAATCGTACATAGGATTCTGTTTTTTAACAATTAAAGACTTTTTTGTTTATTAACATCGACATTAAAAAGTGAAAACTTGCCTTCCAGGCAACATCGCAACGTCCTCTCTGCACTGTCAGCCGGCGCCGTCGAGTCCGTCAAAATCATCGCCAACATCATCGCAAGCATGATTGCCTTCGTCGCTGTGCTGGAGTTCGTTGACCAGACCCTGGAGTGGTTCGGAAACCAGGCTGGAGTCCATGGCTTCACGTTTGGGGTGAATATATATTTAACACGTACCATTAAAAAAAAAGTAGGGGATATTCCATTTTTCGAGCATACCACTAGCCAATGCCAATGCATATGAGAAAAAGTAATATATATCCATACAGATGAAACATTTCCAAAGGAATGGAATAAATTGTCATATTTTCCCTGAATTTCTCTTCATCATCATCTGTTTCCTCCTTGGTTTCATCATTTGCATTTTATCAGTCTTGTAAATCCAATATACCCTTCTTTTTAATGGTATAGTTGAACGATTTGTATTCATAAAAAGACATAGCTTTGCATAATCTTTATTTACATGTGACTTTGTTCTACTATCCGATATAATCATAGGCCCCTGCGGGTCGAAAACCGGACTATACGCAGACATCAAGGAAAATGTTGCATTTAAGGTTTCACGGGTATCAAAACCTTTTGTCCATATTCCGATGGGTGTAGGAAGCATATACTTACGCTTTCCGTGGGGATGTATTTGGGTTTTTTGTAAATCGCCAAAGACTGAGTTGCTTTGCCGGAAGTATACAGAACTAGGTCGTCAGCGCCGGACTTTATTTCTTCCGGCGATCTGATTGGCCACATAAAGAGGCGGTTGTGTCTTTGATGTCTCCGACCTCGACGTCCAAACCGGCCACCACGTTTGCTTGCAATGACAATGTCATCAGCGTTTGAATCATCATGATTTGTCATTAGTTCTGCACACTGGTGAAACACCTTCAGTTCTTGGGTCAATGTTGGTTTTGAGCATTTGTACAATAGATACTACTGTGACATTTTTAATGATGAAGGAAAAGGTTTTCTCGCTTGTGAAATTACTCAACAATATGGATTACATTTCAGCTTTATAAATAATATCATTTCAGCTAGTTTGTTCCTATGCATTCTACCCCATCACCTACATGATGGGCCTGGCCAGCCAAGATTGTGGGAAGATGGGGGAACTGTTGGGTATGAAGATTTTTGGCACCAGTACCATCAGTTTCGCTGAACTCGGGATACTGAGAGGCAACCGTCTCCAGCTTCTTGACTATGTGGGCACACATAACGATACTTGGCACTGGCAGGGTGGCGATGTCATACTCGAGGCGACCAATCAGACGCTCCTTGGTGGCGTCTTGGAAGTTAGTAAAATGTTTGTGTGTGTATGTGTGAAGAGAGAGAGAGAGAGAGAGAGAGAGAGAGAGAGAGAGAGAGAGAGAGAGAGAGAGAGAGAGAGAGAGAGAGAGAGAGAGAGAGAGAGAGAGAGAGAGAGAGAGAGAGAGAGAGAGAGAGAGAGAGATCTGTCATATGTTGTCAGTGTGTACGTTTCTAGACAACCAGTTGCCACTCTTCCAGTTTGCGGAAGTCACGGTGGCTGAGTGGGTTAGATCGCTCATATTGTATTCGGACAACTAGGTGCCTGAGTCGGAGAGTGCACTAGAACCCGTATTTTACTGGGAGTACGTAATCCAACATATAACACGTTTCATATACGAACACATGTTCTCAGATAGTGTCGCACTCTTGCCGTTTAGGATATGCGAACATCTCAATCCTCTCGAGTGCCCATGGATTTGCTAGTTTTGTTGAATCAAAGTGAAATCAAATGATAGCCCGGTTCCGATATTGGCATTAAAATAAGGTATGGAACATGTTTCTTATCCATTTCTGGATAAGTTTAGTTCCTTTTATGGATGAACTGTCATGGGTGAATTGCAAGCTTGATCTCCCTTGGCTGTAATAACTGGTTGTTGTGAAAAGAGTAAGAGCTCCACTTATGGGTGAACTGTCATGCGTGAATTGTCAGCTTGATCTTCATTAACTGTAATAACTGGTTTTTGTTCCATTTATGGATGAAGTGTCAGTCTGGAACTTTTGACGGCTAACACTTTCTGTTAAAGTATCTTTTGAAAAAAAGATAACTTTTTTAAAAGTATTTTTGAAAAAGATAACTTTCTCTCCAGGAGCGAACTGAAGTTATAGCCACCTACGCTCTCTGTGGGTTCTCCACCGTCACCGCTATTGGTATTACATTGGGGACACTGGTTCCTATGGCACCAGAAAGGAAACAGGATATCGTAAGACTCGTCATTCGAGCTCTTATCGCTGGAAACCTAGCCTCGTTCATGACCGGCTCAATTGCAGGTTTGTATGGTAATCTTTTTCACAAACCAAAACGACTTTAGAACTTTCTTTATTTATATACATACATAGATACAACGTGTACACGTTGCTATATAATTGCAGTACTTTTGAAAAAATCGTTAACGTCCATCTGATTGTTTAGGCCAGGGCATAACGATTCGTACAAACAACACATCTGTAACATTTGTATGTTTGTTAGCAATGTGCCAGTTATATGGGAACCGATGACATGTGTCAACCAAGTCAGCCTGACCACCCGATCCCGTTAGTCGCCTCTTACGACAAGCATGGGTTACTGAAGATCAATTCTAACCCAGATCTTTACGCGCAGCTTCTTAAGTGGGTTGAGGTGAGGTGAAATTGGGTTTAACGTCGTGCTTGAGAATATTTCGCTCATATGACAACGTGCATGCGTGTGTATATGTATGTGCCGCTGCTTGTACTAGCCCAGACTTAAACTGGTTTTATAGTGCTAGACAACTGAGATACCATGCCGCAGTGAAGCATGAATACCCCACTTAGACACATTATACTGACTCCAAGCCGACCAGTCCTTGTTGTACCCATTAATGCCGAGCGCCAGGCAGGGACCAACAGCTTCTTAAATAGTTATGACATTAAGAGAAATGTGTTGCTCATGGTGTCATTTTGCTGCTTTGATAATGTAAACACGTTTTTCAGTAACATATCTTTAATTTGACCATCATTTTCGATCCAGGTTTGATGTACACCGGGCAGAATCAGCAGTGACCTTTGATGCAATGACCATCCATCCTTTTCCTCTCTCATTCACTATGCTCACTTTAACGGTAACGTCATTCTTGGCAGTCTAGGGTGTTTTCGTTTATGGGCGAGTGGTATCTTGTTACGGCGTTGTCATATCATTGTGCGTCAATATTTGTTGTTTAACGACGCACTCCAGGACTTTGACCAGACAACCCATTGACTGCCAAACTACAATTTATTATGACAGGTTATATGCTTTTTTATGTATGTTCAAATAAGAAACTGCCGGCTACAAGAAGGAATGTACACATGTTTGATGGTGCTTAGAATGGTTATTCCATGGTGATGTATTTAAAAGGTACCAATCTTGTGTTTTGAACCTTAAGATTGGTTTCGGCGAATATTTTCACCCTTGTAAACGATTGTTGTTTTAGTCTTCTGTATACTTACTTTTGCTATCATCAATATTAAAAATAATAATAATAATAATAGTCCACTTATATAGCGCCATTCCAGGATGAATATCTTGCTCACAGCGCTAAGAAGGAAAAGGAGTGTTCAGGCAAATGCTTGACGGAACAAGTCAGTCTTGAGAGATGTCCGGAAGGAAGAATAGGTTGCAGAAGTTCGTAATTCTTGAGGCAGAATGTTCCACTGATAAGCTGCTGAATGGGAAAACGCCCGTTGTCCGTAACTGCACAGTTTGACCTTGCACTTTTGAAATAAAGTATTTTTTAATTAATAATAATACTTTATTTCAAAAGTGCAAGGTCACCATTTTTATATTAATTATATTTTTATATAATATCTATAAGTATCGATACTAACAAACTGGTGGTGCGTTGCGTGCCTCAAGCAAGCGCTCATCCCGTGCAGTTTGAAACGCTTTGTAACTCATGCAAAATGGTGGCGCGATGACGAGCCGATCAATGTTTTCCTGTTGATGACGTCTCTGAAGACTGAGTGAGTATAGTTTTACGCCGCTTTTAGCAATATTCCAGCAATATCACGGCGGGGGACACCAGAAATGGGCTTCACACATTGTACCCATGTGGAGAATCGAACTGGGCCTTCGGCGTGACGAGCGAACGCTTTAACCACTAGGCTACCCCACCGCCCCCTATGAAGATCTTAAATTGATTGAGGATGCTGGGATGAAAGTTGCCTTTGCCCACTTTCCTGCTTATCCAGTCATGAAGTTTTTGTTCCACTGACAAACTCAAATTTTCGTGGTTTGAAAACGAAGCCACCGGAGACTGGTGCAACGGTGAGGGGCTGAAGTTGTTGTAAGGCGAATCACTGTACATTGCTAGCAAGCGACTGGGTGTTTGCAACGCTCCCCAAATCCAGATGGTTCCCATGAGTACTTAAGTCGACATTTTGTTATCTCCAGAACTGAGTGAGTGAGTATGATTTAACACCGCTTTTAGCAATATTTCAGCAATATCACCAGAAATGGGCGTCACACATTGTAGGGGATGAAGCACGTGGCCACCCGTGAGGAAACGGATCGTCTAAGACAGCGAAAATCGAAGAAGGCCAATGACCATGATGACTGAGTCCTTATTCGCTTCGCAAGATGACCGATGCCGAAGTACTGCTCGACTTCTGATCAAGCACGTGGCCACCTAGAAAAAAAGGATCGTCCAAGACATGGAAGACCGAGGAAGACCAATGACCATGATGACTGCGTCCTTATACTGCTCCGGCAATGGAGGGTTAGTGCCTGAGTCTTGATCAGTAATATTAGAAAGAGGCTGCGGGCTGATGCTCTGTTCAAGGCTCATCGTCCGTTCCGACATTCCTTCCTCACAGAGAGGAACAGGAAGGAACATCTGGTGTGGTACAGGGTCGAACACTCCGGCCCAGTGATGACTTAGCTTATTATCACTGCCACGGGCTAATTTGCATATCACACGACGGTACTTTTTATCTTGTAAACAAACGCGCATATTCGTAAATAAGAAGAGACTGGCCCAACGCAAGCCATTCGGCGCCGTCTTTATAATGTTTTACGTTGTTACATAAATAATCTTCTACGATAGTCAGGTATATGACAATACATATTTATATATCAAAGGGGCTGGATCGTTTGCTCTCCGTCGGATCCGATGACAGCACGTGGTTACCGTACAACCCATGTAAACAAAGGATCGCTACGCCAATCGAGATAGTGTTAGTTTAAGGATATTTTCTCAGTGAAACCAAACCATTGTAACAAAGATGTTTAATTAGATGTGTAGACTCATCAAACATATAAGAGTTAAGAAATATGTACATTATATTGAATGGACTGTGTAAGATGTGACAAACTGTCACATCTTTCTGGTCTGTGGCAGAGGTTCTATGGTGGCTGGCCGCATGGAACTCTGGGTAGAGAGTGACAGGGTCGGAGAAAACCGAAATTTGATGGCATGGCGTACGGTTCACTGGTTGCAGAAAATCTTCTACACGTTCCTGGCGGACGCTCACCACACGAAAGAACATTATTTCCAAACTTTAACCACCTGAGGAAATGAATGCATCATCTGAGGACCATATGACCATCGTTTGAAATGTACGTGTAGTTTGGCCGCCAAATTTGCCTTTCTTTCACATGTCATGAAATAAAAGACCCTTTCGGGAGACTATGAACAAACATGAAGAAGGTGTGGAAAGATAACCATAATTTTTATATATTTATAACGTCTGAATTACTTGTAACTGTTGTAATTGATGGCACGGGTTTAAATATTCTTGAAATCCTGCATGATCGGGTTTAGAATTATCATACTTTCCTCAGTGGTCGATCATAGGTAAATGCATGATTACCATACTGACTGAAATTAGTATTTATTTCAATGATTTGGTAATGTGACTGCATTATATATGTATTACCTACCCATGAAGATCCGGGTCAGAATTGATCTTCAGTAACCCATGCGTGTGGTAAGCTGGAATATTGCCGAGTGCGGCGTTAAACAACCAACCAACCAACCAACCATGCTATAACCACAGCAACTGTATAATGTTTGCCTTAAAGCGTACTTGCACATACTACCAGTGAGATATGCATTTATTTCAAACACCTGTCTCGTTAATCCAGACGGTAACATCTGTTTCGTAAGGTCTTATCCCGACCGTTAACTCACATCAAGTCATGTGTGCATGTATGTTATGACGATAATACCCGTCACGTTACATACACATCTTGACAATAAACTCCTCTCATGAGGTGTGTGTGTGTGCGCTTATCCCGAGATCCAGTGATCAACAGGATGGACATGTATCAACGCAACTGGGATACGATGACATGTGTCAACCACGTTGCCAACCCCAATCAACCAATCCCCGTTAGTCGCCTCTACGACAAGCATTGGTTGATGAAGGCCAGTTATTTGTTTGAAAATGTCCGCCAAACAATTCTTGCAACACACGCAACATTAAAGCCAAGAATTGTTTAAATACACAATGCCATTTAGAAAGTGATCAATGTAACACATGCTCTATTTGGGATTACACTTTCTCAGTAAAGTACAGATTCATCCGGGATTCGAACCCACACCCTTAGTGAGACGCCCAATCGTCAGCACACAAAGTCAGCCGTCTCACCCGCTCAGCCATCGTGGCTTCGACAAAAATGTAAGTCGGACAACTGGCAGTCTAGATCACGGACTTTGTGTACCCCTCTGATAAGTGTAAATTGGTACGGGTATGAATACACAATGTCATTTAGAATGTTATATTTGGGATTACACTTTGAGTTGAGTCCCATCCGGCATTCGAACCCACACCCTAAGACTGACTGAGTTTGGTTTTACGCCGCTTTTACCAATATTCCAGCAATATCACGGCGGGGGACACCAGAAATTTGGCTTCACTCATATTACCCATGTGGGGATTCGAACCCGGGTCTTCGGCGTGACGAGCCAACGCTTTAACCACTAGACTACCCCACCGCCCCCACACCCTAAGAAAGTAATAGAGTATGTTAAGTGTAATCCCTAAAAAACATGTGTTTGCTTTGAGCACTTTCTAAATAGCATTGTGTATTCAAACAATTCTTCGCTTTAATGTCTGGCCAAGCTGATTCACACTCAGGCAAGAGGAATAACATCCAGGTTCCTCTATGACCTTGATACCTCTCTCAGTAACCTACAGGAAGCACCAAAAGAAATTACATTAACATACATGTCTGATGCCAGACAAAAGGCGTCTACTGCTTCCAGAATTAGACGCCATTTCTGTTTTAAATAATGTTAACGGTGCATGATAAAAAGCATGAGTGAATCCTATTGTCCGTTTGTATATCGCAGCTTTGTATTGAACCGATTGAGTTGAATCAATAAATGATATGAATGAATTTCTTGTTTTGTTGTTTTTTGCATAGAATTTAATCTTTATATACCTCGATGATAATATGTGTAGTCCCTAGACAGACATCGATACACACTTCACCGATCTACGAACCTCCCCATTCATACCAATACATCTAAACAGTAATGCCATCATTTAAATTGTGAGTTTAAACGCGTATTTTACATGGATTTACCTTTACAAGGATGGGTGCATTCCGCACAAACGCTACACCCTCCTGTTATCAATGTGTAACTGTTTACATTTCGATAGTCTGAAAATACCCAGAGATATGTTGATCCTAGACATGTGTGCGGGCGAGTTCATTCATCAGAAATCTGTTACTTATGATGTGTTTATAAATAAGAACTTCTAGCCACACTCATAGTAATGTTTCATGTCGTGGTTAGAACCGTAATTGATCTATTGAAAGGTGTCATACATTCATGTTCAGATATATGTATAAACTCTACACGCACATACATTCCTACAATACCACAATTCATTCAAATGTATTAAATACCGGTTACATTTAATATATATATACACACACACGCACACACACACACAACAAAACAAAGGTTTAGTGAGGGGAATACCCATGACCTCTCTGAAATAACTCCCTTTAAAAATAGTAATGTAGAACACATCTTCCCTAACCTATAATAAATATTGTACACTGGTCACACAATTTATGAATGGGAAGCTTTACCGGTAGGCGAGGTCGGTATGTTGACATTGTTAGGCCGGTATGTTGACATTGTTATGGCCGGTCGCTTAGTCTATCTGCTACACACTAGATATGAATAAACCTACTTCGACATATTTTTCCAGTGAAACATTTTCCTCGCCTTTAAAATGTCCACGTTAATATTGCTATCTCTGCAATTAGGATGAAGATCGTAAACATGACATACGTCGCTTGCCTCTACATGTCTTCTATCTCTCTCCAAACAGCTTGTCTAACT